GTTCTGACAAGTTTTGCAAAAGATACTAGAAATATGGTCCAGATAGTCAAAGTGCTGCGAGTCCAGTTACTCGCTGTAACTGCACTACTTATCTCAGCCAGTTTCCCTGATTGACCAACAAGCTTTTTCTTGATACTGAGCATCTGTCACCATCATTTCTGTGATTCTTTGCACACCACCAGAAATGGCACATATAAAAAAACTTCATAAATATAAAATCAATATAAAACCAGCACTTCTTTAAGTGCTTGATTGAGCAGTTTTATTCTATAATGTAAGTTTCTGCATTTAAAAGTGTATGGTTATGTACTTTTTCTTGTCAGATCTAGATTTTCTGAACCAGTGTGACCCAAATCTAGCTCTTTTTTGAACCCAAGCAGTTTGCTTGCTTTTGTTAGGAAAAATCCTGATTTTGGTGTTTGTTTTTTTTTTTTTGTCACTGCTAAGCTCTACTGAACTATTCTCTTTCAGTGGACAAGGGAGCCTGCTCCAGCCATTCATTTACTATAGGTTTCTTACGTTACGCTACTCTTCTCGGCGAAATCCGTACTGTCGGTAAGTACTAAATTGATTTTGGAAGTTAGTGTTTAACTGTGTAGTGCTCAGGCATTTGGAAACTTTTTGTTCTAAAATGAATGCATAACTCATAGTACTAAATCTGCAGATGGTAATTTTAGGATGCAAAATACACCTGGATGCTGGGTCAAGGTTATATTTATTTCATGTAACTGATCAGAAATGTACCAATGTTCTTGAATGGGAGCTTTGAGAACATGCTTGTGTAATTAAAACTACACCTTGGGAGAATAAAGTCTTTCTTATCAGAAAGATATCCTTATTTTTAGATTTTCAGGTATATCTGAGGCTAAGTCTGTATATGAATAGGCACTTAAGAACTTGTGTAATATTGACAGAAAAAAAATCTGTAGTTAAACATGCTCATTACCTCCTTTAGTTAAATTCACAAATCAGGTTAATTATATTTGAAATAGAATTTATTGATTTTGAAAGTTGGTCAAGCCAATATTGCTTTAGACTTTGAAACCATAAATATTTCTATGAGGATTTTCCCAGGTCAGTGCTTTCTTAGTTTTGTAAGACAAGCATTGCAAAATGTAAGATTTTTGTTAACATACCCTCCAGTCTAATCATTACTCGATTAGAAAATGGTTTGCTAAAGTGCCAAGGAAGTGGCTTTGGCTGCTGTGATATGTGAAGACAAGTCTGAGAATCATAACCTTAATCGCCTCCTGTTCCCTACCATTTTGTAAGAAATTAATTGCTCCATCCTGGTACATATATTTTTTTTTTTAACAACAACAAAATCTGTGAAATTGCTTTAGTATCTAAAAATAATCTAAGCTGTGCAATAGTAAAACTGACTTTCAATAGAACTAGTTTATCCAAAATGTTCTGCTGGCATTTTTGTAGTTTTAAGGGAAACTGGTGATCTGGGTTTTATTTCTTATGTCTGTCTTCTAATAGTTGCTTCTAGAGTGCACTGTTATTGCATATTGGCAAGAAACAGCACACATACACAGTTGCCTCCCAACTCCTTACACTAATTGTGATAAAGCATTATTCTTTCCTCCTCTTTTTTTTCAATAGTGTCTTTTTGTTTTGGCTTTAAGGTGGAATTTTTCTGCTGTCTTTAGTTCAGCAGCTTCCAGCCAGGGATGGATATAAAGTTAATTAAAATGTTAATGTTTAAAAGCCAAGAATTCTGAAGCTCTTGCAAGATACTGCAATACTGAGTTGGTCCAAAGAACTTGTTAGCTAGAGTGTGTATGTGTGTGATGTTAAGGAAAGAAGTGAATGAAAAAGACAGATCTAGATAACACTTCTGATAAATGCTGTAGCATTTTAAAACTCTCTTTAAATCTGATTTTTTCAGGACTCTCTTCACTGAGCTCAGGATTGTTGTTGAACACTTAATAATGAAGCCCTCGTGCCCTGTTTTTCTAAGAAGACTATGCCTCAGCAGCATTTCCTTTATAAGCAGATTGGCACCAACTGTTGCATAGCCAAATTTCAGGCACTCGTGTTTTGTGAACATTATGAGCAGCTGGCACTTCTGCTGATGATTAGAAATTTCTGATTTTACACTGATCTCACTCCAGGCTGTTTAAAAATATGTATATGCTTTTCTTGGAGATAATATGAAATTTAGCATATCAAAACCAAATAATGTAAACTTAAAGTTACTGTATTGTATTGTTAATTGGTGAAACAAATTAGCTGCATCCTTTCTAAAACATACCCAATCATACAGGGTTTTGTTTTGTTTGGGTTTTTTTTTTGGAATCAAGGATTGTTTGAGATTGATTAAAACTATAAGAGGTCTATGCTCCCTTGGTTTATGTTAGTTGGAACTATAGCTACTGTAGGATATCTCCAGTGGATAGCAGTTGGTACACATACCTATGCAGTACACTTTGGACAGTATTCTTCTGCTTACTACATGTATCTGTAGAACTATTTTGTCCAAGTTACTATACTCAATGTAGAGATATGGCCCACTTTGAAGTTAACACAAGGGATTAAAATCTATCAAGCTGACACAGATAACACCTTTTCTGAAGGAGAGGTTATTTTTATTATACTACTTAAAAAGAACTCTTCCAAGTTCCTACCTTGTGACGTAGTCTTACATTACACGGTTGGAAGAAATATCAAGACTCTGATCACAGAAAACTCTGCAGTTTTCTTGTCATAACAAGATGTTTTACCAAGCCAAACTGCTGACCTGTAGGCTTTTCAGCCAAAGATGTAACTTTTAACCATGTCTCAAATGAACTAATCAGTGTAAATGAAGTAACTTTTGCAGACTCATTGCAGATTTGTTTATATGTCCACAAAAATTTGAGACTGCAGTAATTCAAGCATGTTAGCTTTTTAGAAAATTAATCTGTAGCTAGATCTATATGAATTGTTATTCCAGTTTCTGAGAGTCTCATTGTGATCGGAAATTTGCATAAAGGATTGAACCTGTTTAGGCAGCTTCTGAAACAAATGGGTGTAGGATTTCTTGGCATAAATCCATCTGATGACTGACCTGAAGCCATGTCATGACTACAGAAGTGAATATTAATTTGAGTGAATATTAAATTGAGTGCTGATTATGTATTCACCCAGCAGCTGAAAGGTAGGTCGTGGAAAAATAATGTTATCTGTCTGAACAAAACTTCTTTCCATAAATTCAAGGCAAAATATTTGCCTAATCTTCTCTAGTTAATGTTAGTATTCTAATTGCATAAAATTAAAGGGCCTTTTGTAAACTTCTATAGCACTGAACTTAACTATTCTTCCATGGTCAGAGAAATCTTATGTGAAACTTTTTCAAAAGCAGTCTTGAAGTAGAGTATTTTCCTGTAACTACTGAGTTATCTTGTTTGTGATGTGGATATCATTCAGACTTTTCAGTTGTATTAGTTTGTTAGATCAGAGCCATGTATTTATAAATTTATTTCATTTTTTTGCTCAACCTCTTGGTATTGATTATCCAGTTGCTAATTGAATATGATATTCTTTGACTACTTGTCTTGCTCTCTGAACATGATTAGCTGTTTATAGAACACTTGCACACTGCAGAAGCAACTGCATGCAGTAATGCTCTACAGCTGCTAAAGACTTGCAATGAGTTTCATTATATGTATATCCTGTAATCCTGAGGATTTTATAAAAACTAAAATTTCTACTGCAATAAAATGAGTGTTAAATGTAACTTGCTAGGCTCTTCAAGCTTATTTTCTCTCTAACAGAACATACTGATGCTTGAACCTGGAAGTTGAGCAGAATGCTTTCCTGTGTGTATGTGTGCATGTTCCTGTATTCCCACTGCTGCTTTTGAATTGGGGTATAATGTCTTGTGCATTTCTAAATTATCTTATAGGGAATTTTTGCCTTCTAAAATGCAAAAATGTATGACCCTTTCCTTCAAAATCTAACCCTAAAATAAGCACTGCAACAATGGTATCTAATCAGAGCAAAAAATCTAGACCTACTTATTACTGTTTCAGTTCCTCTGCACAGTCCTAGACCCTGTTTCATGTTACATGATGTGTTTTTTGAGTAGAGACCTCAGACTCTCTTCAGCTCTTTGGACCAATGTGATTTAAAGATTTTAATTCGGTCATCTAAGTTGGTCCCCCATGCTGGGAGTGGAAGGCAAATAAATCTGTAGTTAATGTAAGCAGAATAACATGTTACTTCTGAGCAAATTTTTGTGGTTGGACTGCAGTTACAGGTGCAGTCTACTGTTCCTTAATTATATGATGTTATTAAATTAGAGATGAGTCTAAACTGGATCTGACATATTGCAACTGTAACTGAAGGATGCTAAGTCTTGAGATCCAACTCTAGGAATGGATGAGAAAGATTAAAAGGAGTAAGTGAATGACAATGAGCAAGTTGAGAGTTGGAAGACAGTGCCATGAAGTAGAACTTAAACGTGGATACTGAATTTCTTGTTAACTCTTTCCATTAACTCTTAAAAATGGACTCCTTAAAGAGGAGGAAGATGTTTCATAAATGGGATTTGATTTGATATGATTTGGCTAGTATATTTGTGGTTTTGCAAGGATTTGCTTGACAAATGAGCAACTTGTGGCCTGGAAAAACTTATCTTCTCTGACATGCCAGGAAAACATGGAACAATGTTATAAGAATAATGTTCAAACTAAATAAATAGGGCAACTGACCTGTACTCTGCATCAGCTTTGATTTTTACTGCAGCCTTTTGGCTGCCTAAGTGATAACTGTGCATTTCCTCAATACTGGCAAAAACATTCTGTCCTCATGCCTGCTTACTTGCCATGGTTTGTGATTGCTTCTACACTAATGATTAAATTAGATATGAATTGCTGGTTGTATCCTAGCTGTGATACAGAGGCTGTGACAGAAATCTGTGATCGCAGAGAAATTTTGCAACTGACCATAAAATGCCTGTCAACCCCAAATGTGAAGCAGAAAAGTTTTTATTTTACTGAAAGGTTACCTACCTAGTGTTAGGTAACTGTTTCCACTGGTATAAATCACACTGGTCATTGCTTTTTGTCATCTCAGCTTTCATAAGATAAGTGCTGTTGCATAGATTCTGTGAGTAGACCCACCCCTTGCTCTGCACAAACAAGTAGAAGTGACGCTCCAGCATAACAGTTTCTGTTGTCACCTGTAGGTAAATAAAGTATCAAGAGCCATTGGAGACTTTTGGAATAGCTAATGCCAGCTGGGATTTCTTACACACCAAGGGACTTACCAATACATCCATCCTTTCCTTTATCGCCTTTTATTTAATTGTATACTTTTATTGTAATTTCTGTGCTGTCAATTTTATATTTTGCTCCCTTCTTTGATGGATGCTTAAGGTGAGCAATATCTGTTAATATTTTAAGTTGCAAGTTTTAGGGATTTTAAAAAAAAATCCATTACAATCGTGAGCCACTATTTCTTCCAACAGTTTTTGAGCTGCTAACTATATATGTTATAGTACTGTCCAAACAAATAACGTGTCTGGTTATTTTGTACAGTCTGTGTTGGACTGTTTCTTTGTTAGGCACCTGTAGTGTAACATTTGCTGTACAGATCCCATGTTTATTAAGGAAGTATAGTTCTTGTCCATTTTACAGACAGGAATGGAGACATGGAAGAAATGAGCACTTTCCTGAGGGGGTGTAAGAGCTCTGGCAGAGCAGGAAATAGGACAAAGAGAGTTGGACAAGTGCCCAGAGGAAACTGATTTGTTTCTATACCACACATGACTTGTTGGTCCTGCTCCCAAAATTATACCAATTATGCTGGCTTAAATACTTAAAAAAGTACTGTACCTTACAGTGCTCAGATTAAGGGCAGAAAAGACATTGAACTAGACAGCATGCCCTGTTAAAGCAGTATCAAAAACTGATTTCCACATGCAAGAGCTAGGTATGGTCCCTTGTATCGTCATCTCTGCACTGATGAAAAATAATACAACAGAACAAGATGGCAAGCACTTAATGTGCTAGATGGTAGTAGGGTATGCTAATCTTATAACTGTCTATAATTTTTAATTGCTGCAGTGCATCTATTATGTTTAAACTATATATACTGAAATTGGCTAGTGTATCATTGTATTGTAACTTCTATTGTGCTGTAATTTTCTTAAAGTCACAGGAGCAGTCAGGCCTCGCTGTTTTAAATCGCCTTTTAAGGACAGAACCTTAAGCAATCCTTTATTTCAAAGATGCATTATCCGTATGGATAATGTAATAGAATTTAATCTTAAATGTGGATTCAAAAATCTTTCTCATAAAATGTCAGCATTACTTACTAACTTCTCTGCGGAAGCTAGCTCTGTGATAATAGCAGATGTTGTGCAGGTAAGGGAGTTTCATTGCTTAGTTCTGTGCCATCCAGATGGTATAAACTTTTAAAATTAATTGAAAAATTCATCTTTTACTTGTATTCAAGGACTGAGGCACAAAATGCTAATGTAAGGGCTCAGAGGGGAAATATAGTTCTCCTGCATATTTGAAAAAATGTGAAGCCCTTTCAAGAAAATCTAATAAACATAATAATCGCAGGCTGCTGACACTAAGGAAAAAGCACCTCATTCGCTCTTTCTTTTATGCAGTGATTTACTGGTCCCTACTGATTTTCAAATTGGATCACTGCAGTAAATTATCCATACCAGTACCTGTGAAAGAAAGCACTGGGATCCATATTTGTTCAGTGCTGTGCTTAAATCAGCAAGAATGATAAATTTGATGATATGAAATTGGAAATATCAAGGGCTTTTCTCAGTGAATGAGCAAGTATCTCCATTTGTAATTTATTGTGACCCTTTTTCACTGTATGTGCTTTGTATGTCAAATATTTATTTTGAAACAAATTAAATTGTTTTCTGTATTGATACGGCTATGGTTTTGTTCTTGAAATCAGATTGTATATTTTTTCTGGATTTTAAGTATTATCAGTGTTGTGTTGCAAAACAGCACTTGTTTAAGTTCAAATCTGTGAGTGACTTTTTACTGACCAACAGCTTTTTCTGTTAAATGTTGTAGGTGCATGTTGGGTGTTGGGTTTGATTTTTTGTGTGTGTGTGTATGTTTAGAATAGAGTAGGATGCAGTGAGCCATTGCGGCATCTCATTTGCTTTTTCTAGAGAAACAGGAAGATTAATGTGTATGTCAAACCCAAAAAAAAGCTGATCCCTGTCTTTAAGTCATTTGAACTGTTCTGCTTTACACCTGGCATAGTTAACCCCAACTTCTGTGGGAAAAAATCTACCTATGTGCCCAGTTCACTGCCATATTTTCAGTGCAGGTGTTAATAGAGAAAGTTGTACACCTGTGTTTTGGCAGAAGTCCTGTCCTTTTAATTTTAAAATAGGTTATTTTATGTCTGATTAAATCCCACTACCTAAGTGCCACTGCTGAACTGAAAATGAGTTGTGGCTAGTGCTTTTTTACTTGGAATTTATATCAGTATAATAATAATTTGTTTTGCAACTTGTAAGCAAAATTGTGAACCGGTGTGGTTAATAATGTGACCCTATGTTACCCTCTTCTTATGGGCTAGGCTTAGCTCGTTTGTGATGGCACATTTATTAGTGGACTTCTGTTCAACCCCAGTGCCAATGAGCTGGGCTTTATTCTACCACAGCTGGCTACCTCCATACAGCTGTGGTTTTGTAAAAACAGTAGTGTGAATTGTATTTTAAGGAGCCATGAAAGACTTTGCTCTTCATTGAAGATAATTTAAGTTCATGTCTATAACAGTTTTCATGTGTCTGACCATGATATCTTGCTTTGGGGTGAGTGAAGTTCTACAACAGTCCAGACTCCTGCCTTGGGTGAGGAAACTGGTTTCCTTGAACAAGTGCTGATCATGGTATTTTCATTTGCTGTATGTGTTCCTTTGAATATTCACTCATAATCCTTTGCTAATGTGAAGAGGAAGAGTATGTTAGATGAAGACAATGCATCAGTTAGTTGAGATATTGCACAGGAAAATTAAGCTGAAAATCAGAAATTAAAAAAGGTGCAGGGCTAGATTATCTGCAAGGGCTAAAGCAAAGTCAGCTATAGTTTTCACACAGGTAGGAATGCAATAGAAAGAGAAGGAAGAAGAATGGGGATAAAAATAATGAGAATGCAGAAAAGTTCATCTCTGTGATAAAAAGAGGTCTGGAAATCCTACTGGGTATTCTGTTGCTTTCACAAACCCCAGTTCACCATTCATGGTTTCATGCAATCAGAATCCTCTGGATAGTACTTAAGTTTTCAAGCTGTAAATTATTTTGAATTTATTCTCTATTAAAATACTGCTGGAATAGCATGTTCAGATGCTGCTACATTGTACACAAATTGACAGGCTAATCTTGGTTTCCTTAAAACGGAAAATAGCTGCAGTGGAATTATGTGTTCTTCTCTATTCTGCTTGAAGCTCCTATAGTGGAAAAGTAAAGAAATAAATGCTCTGGTCTATATTATTACTGGGCTTCTTGGCTTTTTTTTTTCATTTCTCTTTCCTTGTTGCTTTGCTATGTTTTTTTCTTGGCAATCTGGTGGAAGATTTCGTATGTGAAACTGCATGGGGTTTTGTCCTACTCTGTGTTTGCATAGAACATAATATTTGTAATGTAGTATTTTAACATTTTTTGATTTAGTTTTTTTTCAATCTAGAAAATCCGAACAGTGTTTTGAGATGACAGATGTTTCCTATTACAATCCCTTTCAACATACTTTCTGCTGTAGCAACTTCAGTTAGGTTCTGACTAAATTGTGAATCCTTTCAGTGATAAAGTTTAAATCAAAGCCATTAATGACAGCTTTTTTGTAATAGCAGATGGAAATCTAGGATTGACTTTCTGAATTTTCATGTCCACTAGAATTTTCAGTTGTGTAACTCTATAATACAGAGAAATATTGAAATCTTAGAAAATTACAGTTATAGCATCAAGCATTAGTTCAGTGTGCATGTGTTTGAGCATCCAGTGGTTCTATTTCTAATTATCTCACATTTTTTAACATCACTGTGGGGCAGAGGTAAGATGTTTAGTTGCATCAATGTGTATGTATGCTTACAGCAGTGGATAAATGAGTAAATAAAACATAATATTATGAGGGTTTTTTTCCTATTTGGATATATGCTTTGCACTTTATGATGAAAAAGCCTCTTCCTGCCCTCTGTCAGCCTTTTCTCTTTGCAGTGTTACACATTTATAATGGAAATAGTTTTGAAAGAAGATTCTTGCACTGCACAGATCTTTTTAATATCCTGCCTTTATGCACTTTAAAAGTACTGATTGAGCTTATTTAACATTCTTGTAATTCTTATTTTTTCTTATAAGCAAAAGAATCAAGCTGCTTTTAAGCTGATCCTTTCTTTGGTCATGTAAGGGATTATAGGACGGGTGGAGTAGCAGGAGACTGGACCTGATGATGCAAGAAGCTTCTTCCAGTCCTGCATTCTTATGCATGTCTGCAAATAACTGTAGAGAATAAGAGTAGTTTTTTTGGTATATTATGTACCTAGTATTGTTTTTAAGAATTTTAAACTAGCTTTCTGCTTTAGGATGAAGGTAAGCACTGCTAACCTTTTTCCTTACTCAACGGGGGGAAATTTTATTTTATATGATTTGGCCATTTGAAATGAAATTGAATTCTTCCTTCTTGTGCTAATTTTATTCCAAACCACTGACCTCTAGTGGCTGGTTTGCAACTACGAAGCTATAGTAATGTAATATGCTCCTCATGAGTCTATGGCTACAGGAGAGTCATTTTCCATTTCATTTTTCCAGCAGAATAATGCTTCTTCATGATTTATTTTCCTTTGGCACTCAGTAGCTGCTGCTGCTGCTGGGTTGAGTACTGCTGCACCCAGTTCAAGAAACTGCATGTGACTGCTGGTTTTCAGGTAAACGAACTGCATGTGAATAACTGCAAACACTTATCCATGTGCTGGAAATAAAAATATTTAGTTTTAGTCTATGTAGATCTTTGATCCAGTGACCATGAAATAACTTTACAGACCTACATGACTCAGAGTGGTGTTATGCAAACTTCTGTAGATTCACCAGTCTATGCCTTGGAAGAGTCATTCCCCTCATGCACCTGCCTGCCACAAAGTATTCTCTAGTTTTTCTGTGAATTTAAATATTTTACCTGAAAAACTTAAGGGCTGTTTGGGATCACTGGACACTTTATGTATTCATACTTTTTTTGAACTATCTGTATGTAGCTGCTTGGTGTTAACTATATATGTGTAGTATCATAAAAAGTACAAAAATAAAGTCTTTCCCTTTTCCTTTCTCCATTTTTTGTCCCTTGCTATGCTGTATGAGAGATACACAAGGCAGGATACGATGGGAATCCTGAAGAGTAATTTAAATGATATTAAGTCATTACCATCAGCTCTTGCTGTGGATCTGGGGACATTTCAAGTCTGCTCTGCTGTATGAACCTGAAATATTTAATGAATTTCAGATTAAAAAATATTCAAATTGGCTTTATATTACTTCATTTTTCATATAAGGAACACTAAAAATTCTTCACTGCTTATTAGCCTTCACATATCACAGATTTCTTGCTAGGCAGTAATATTGGAGAATTTCATCATGATGGACTGTTTCTCATCAGCTCGAGAAATCCAGCCAGTTACTTAGTTATTTTAAATAAACAGGAACTAGGAAAAAAGTTTCCAAAGGTCTATATTTCAATCCAGTCACCTCTCTTTCTTGATCTGCAAGCAGTTATATGTAAACTTTTCAAGTGTCTCCATAAAACAGGTTCTAAATCTTAAAAGGTTGTTACCACAGTCCTTGTTCTTCCTGAAGACCTGGTAAGGCAACTTAAACTTATAATTTTTTATAGGCAAGGTAATATGCTGTATACAACAAGTTTCTAGAGTTTTTGCAAAAGGAGGCTTGAGGAAATGACTGATATTGTAGCCAGCCTCCTTCCTCGTATGAGCAATATACACAGATCTTCACGCAACTGGTATATGAGGAACCTCTGTCCCCTAGACAGAGGTTCAGATGGCACAAAAGCCCATGTACAAGCATGGTATATAGACATAGTACTTTTTTATCAGTTCAGCATTTAGCAACTTGAATGGGAATGAGATTTTGCACTTTTTTTTAACTGGCTTGATTTTATGAAATAGGAGCTTAAAATAGCCATTGAATAACCATTATTCAAAATTAAACCTTAGGATGCAATTGCAACTGTATTGAATGAAAACAAGATCTCACCAATTTGCTTGGGCTGTACATAGTAGTCCTTGCCACAGGCAAAAAGTTGTTAAATGTAGTTCGTATGTGCCAAAATACCCTATCATTTAGAGAGTTTCTCTATTCATTGCTAGTGATTGATAACTAATGGTTAAGATGCTCATCATTAAGGTTGATATTTTTTTCTTAGGAGGCTGCAGCTGCATGCCATGAGTCTTGATAATTTATTATCAATTGCTTTATGTACTTGGCTATCCCATGCAGAACAGTCTGTTATTGATGCTCTTTTGCCTGTTTCTTGTTTCCATCAGTTTTCAGTGTTTGTCAATATAAAGGGTCACACAGAACAATTGATCGTGTAAATCCCAATTGACCACCACAATGTTAGTGTCTATTAATCTATCTGTGGCATTTCAGTTTTATTATTTTTCTTCCTGTTTCATATTTACCCCAACAAAATCAGGCAAGGCAAATTCAGTTATTCTGATGGATAAAAGAATATGAAATAGTAGTTCCATTTGGTTTTAGAGAGGAAACGATAAACCTAAAGTTAGCATCTCTTCTGGAGTATAGCAGAAACAGGAACTGCAAATGTTTCAAGAATTTTTATCTTCTTTAAAACATCTTTATGTGGGGAAAAAAAAATAGTGAACTCTTACCCTCACGTTTCTTCTTTTTTTTTTTTTTGCAGTTAGGCTCTTGCCAAAATAACAAGAGGCCAGCAAAACATATATCAACTGCATGTTAGACTCCCAACTAAAAGAGGTGAATTGACCTCACCTGTGCTACTTTACAACTTGCAGTCTATTTAGTATTTAACTCCACTGCTGTACATCTGGTACTTAATGATACAGCATCTGTTGCAATACTCCTGATTCATTTGGTATGGCTGCAATTGGACTACTGGGAAGATGGGTGTTAATTATTTCATGCAAGTATTTTACTTCGATCTGCCTCCACTGCGCTTCTAGGAAAACTTGCACTGGCAATGTTACTCAGTAGCTGGGTGGTAAAGATGTGCCAGCAAACCTTGTTCAAAATTTAATTGGGTGTGTTAACAGCGGGTGCCATTATAACTCTCCTCAGTGAGAGGAAGCTTTGTGGATTATCAGGTACATTAATTATCCAAATTCCCTGCCAAGCTAACTTCTGGTTAGCTCCCACGTTCCTCCCAGGGTGCAAATGAAGACAAGGAAGCCTGAGACATTTTCTCAGCATCATGTAAACTAGTATTGAAGCTATTCTGAAAAAAACTTCTATAAAAAGTAATTTGATGCCAACGGGACTGATTCCAGGCACGGTCCTGAGCCAGGCTGTAGGTGAGCAGAGCAGGAGGAGGTGTCACAGCTGTGCACAGGCAGTCCTTACAACCCTCGAGTGCAGGATCAGCCACAGGGCACTCTCCCTGGAGAAAGACATTGTTTTTAATCAGATCTTTTTTTATCAGCACTGATCCAGGAAGTGTGTTTTAATGGAGGGCTTAGGCTAGGATTTCATTTTCACGTAGAAATCATGCAAACAAGTTTAGCATATGTGGTTTAATGTTATCTACGTTCAGAGAAGGGCAATGAAGCTGGTGAAGGGTGTGGAGCACAAGTCTTATGAAGAGCAGCTGAGGGAGCTGGGGTTGTTTAGGCCGGAGAAAAGAAGGCTCAGGAGGGACTTTATCTACAGAAAGGAGGTTGTAGCCAGGTGGGGGTTGCTCTCTTCTCCCAGGTAACAAGTCACAGGACAAGAGGACATAGTCTTAAACTGTGCCAGGGGAGGCTTAGGTTGGACATTAGGAAGAATTTCTTCACAGAAAGGATGATTAGACATTGGAATGAGCTCCCCAGGGAGATGATGGAGTCACCGTCCACGGAGATGTTTAAGGAAAGACTAGACATAGCACTTTAGTGCCATGGTCTCGTTGAATCAACTAATTGATTCTGTGATCCTATAAACCCCCACTGTCTTACGTGTTTTTAGCTGTGCTAGCAGACTTAGAACGTATGTTACGCATACCCATAGGCGTTATCCCTCCACCAGCAGCAGTAAATGAGTAGTTCCTGAGCAGGAGCTTCTCCCGAGGAGGCGGGGGCGCGGTCGGGGCCGAGTTCCCACAGCCCGCCCGGCGGAGCCGCCCTCCCCGCGGTCAGGGCGCTGGCCCGGCGCAGCGCGGGGCGGGTGAGTCAGGCGCGGGCCGCGGGGGATCCGCCCGCCCGGGCCCCCGCAGTTCCGCCCGCCACATCCGGGTGCCGACGGCGCCGCCCACCAGCCGGCCTCCGGCTACCACCGCCGGCCTCGGCTACCCACCGCCGCCTCCGGTTACCACGCCGGCCTCCCGGTACCACCGCCGCCTCCCGGTTACCACCCGCCGCCCGGGGCCAGCGGGGCTCCGCCGCCGGCCGGCCGGCCTTGTCCCATGAGCATCCGCCCGCCCGCCCGCCGCCGCTGCCGAGCGGCCGCGCCATGGATGCAGCCCTGGCCGCCCAGCGGCGGGCTGCCGCGGCTCTACGCCTGTACCTGGCGGTGCCAGCGGCGCGCCGCGGCCCCCGCGTCCTGCCACGTGAGTCCCGCGGGGAGCCCCCGGCCCGCCGCACCGCCCGGCCGGGCTCGCAGGGAGCTGTGATGGAGCTGCGCTCTCGCCTGGGGCACAGCGAGTGCCGGCATTCCTCCCGAGCAGCGGCGTGCTCCCGGCTGCGGGCACCGGCGGGCCGGGAGCGCTGGCTGCGTTCTGCGAATCGGCTTTAAAAAGAAGGGAAAACGTCCAAATTTTTGGACAACAGGAAGGAAAACGCCTAAGTTTTTTGTTGCGAACGCAGGGCCGGGCCCCGGGTGTCCTCGGCCGGGCCGTGGCAGCCCCGTCTGACGCAAGGCGGGCGCGTCATGCCCGTGTTGGGGCCGAAGTTTGCAGGAATTACATAAAATGAAGCGCGGCCTGACAGGGTTTGTGTTGGTATGAGGAGCGAGACCCGGCTTTTCCTTTAGACTACAGATCTCACGACATTTGAATTCTCCCCAGTTTTGTCCCTCTTCTGGTAGCCACTGACCGCCGAATTGCAGCAAATACCCGTTAACGGTTTCGTGCGTGTGTGGATGAGTAAGAAAAACGTCCTCTAAACGTGCTGATGAAGTTTACCCTTTTCAACTGCTGCAGTAACACCAAAGCTTAGGAGACAACACTGCTCATCTTGTGCCATATATTTATTGTAGTGCTTTATAAATTCGTAGCCAGTAAGCTGATTCATTGAGCTGTGTTGAGTTGAGTATTCAGGGCTTTTGTCCCATTTGCATCAAGTGTTAATCAGTAAGAACTTATCTGCCCTTTTTGGTGAAATTGTTCCTTCAGTAGGGGTCAGGTCAATGCATGCACACGTGCAGGTGCCTTGGTACTGCAGAAGGCTAAAAAAAAAGGAAAGCTTTTGAGACTTTTACAGAATAAACACTTCTATAAAAATATTACCTTTTTTGTGAACAGTGTGTTATTCATATATGAGTGGTCATGCTTTGCATGACTTGATTTACCAGCACTGCTTGATTATTTAAAAAAATTAATTATTCTATTGGGGAGTGCTTTCCAAAGCAGCCAGTTTCCCTGCTGCATTTCTAGTTGGAGGAGCTATATGCCCTCTCTATAGGAGTGTTTGTGTTCCCTAAAAGAAACTGGTTGCTGATACAGGTTAGTCTGTACTGCATGCAACTCTACTTTTGGCTAATCTTTTGAAATAGAAGATTGCCTACCTAGGGTGATTTCTCAATGGGCTTTTAGAAAGTGTTTTATACAATATTGTGTACTTTTCTACGTAATTTCTGTAGCAAGTGGGTAATGCACACAGTTCAGTTTTTCTTAATTGATAAACTGTGGTTCATACAGAGGTTTGTACGAAATGGCAGCACTAACTAGTTTTGTAGTGGTCTGTATTTGTTCTTTTATCAATACTTGGTTTTTAAAGATTTTGAGGCAATATGACTATAATGTGACTTAATATATTAGTAAGCCCATCTTGTCAGATAGCTTTGTTGTGGTTTTTTTTTTTTTTTTTTGGTTGGTTGGTTTGGTTTGGGTTTTTTTTCTTTTTCTTTTTTTTTTAAACATCCTAAGATCCTCCAGAGGTCTTGGGAAAAATCCATATCCATACTGTATTGTATGGGTAAAAATCCCTAGTGTTAGAATGAAATTTAAAAGTGGATGCTTGAAGAGAGGCAGTGAAAGCATGGTATATACTCCAATTTTGCTTTTCCTTCTTTTTCCTTCTAAAATGGTTGTCTGAAACAGCTTTTTTTCCTCCCTTTGTTAGGATGGAAAACTTCAATGAAAAGCGGGAGCCTGTCTTATATTCTGCCATGCAATCGCCTGCCCATGCAGTTGATGAGTCAAGTGAGAGTTTACACATCCAATGGTCAGAAAAAAGATCTTGGATCAGAAGATACAAATAGATCAGCCCGTGAAGAAACACTAAATAAGGCTGAAACAGGTAGTACTAAGCTAAAATAAGGAGTATTTATAAAAATGTAAAAACTTAATGTCTTTGGTGATAACTTTTTTCTTTCAATTGTGTGATATTATGGTTGCAGATTTCTTAGTATTTGTTGTTTGTGGGTGTTTATGTATGAATTTCAAATGCATAAGCGGGGAGGAATGCTGAAATTTATTTCTTTGACATTCTGGTATTTACAGGATTTAAATTTAGAGGAATCAAATTTAAAGTGGCCAGGATAAAATGTGGATGTTGAAAGGCTTACATAACTTAAGGGATAAAAAATGGAATGTGTTACTCATATTTCATCACTTTTCTTGTGTATTTGAATTTTTTTTGGTAGTATTTCAGGTATGTTGTGTGAAATGAACTAATGATAGAGGTTGAATGAATGTGACTGTTGAGCGTTGTGGCTTCTCCAGGCCAGGCTATAAATGACTGGTAAAGAAGGTTGAGCTGATTCATCTGCTAGAGCTTTCTAATCTGGCACTTGTTAGAACTGCATTGTTCACATTAAACATTTGATACATTGTACATAACCTGGCCCTCCTTGCTGTTCAGTTCAGTTGTCAATCTTGTGCTTGATAGGTGCTTGTGAAATTCAGAACTGTATTGTCCTTGCTCCATCATAGCATCCTCTATTTTTGATGCTTATTAACTGTAGGACTGCACAGATACAGGCTTGGAAGACTACTGTGCTTAAGAGATAACAGATGCTTTTTAAAATGAGAGCTATCTTTCTTTGTGCTTCTGTCTTCAACCAAGTGGTCTTCTAAAGAAAATTTCCTTCTCTTCATTGTCAGGGTAGCAGATATTCCTTCCTTCTTTAGTAACTTGTAAATTCCTGAGGCTTGCAACAGTCTTTAAAAGCTAGTAACTGTAGCCAGGTAAGAGTATTACATTTCTCATGTTTGGAAGTACAAAAGTGAATCTTAAATGTTGTTCACTTTTGAAGGTTCTATCATATCAATCTCTACTTGTCTGAAAAACAGTGACTGTGAATTGAGGTGTTCCGTATCTTTTTTTCTCAGTGATGCACTATGATTTTGTTTAGTCTATAAGCTGAGGTAGTCTTCAAAAGGGTACTTGATGTACATAGATATAAATCTTAATAATTTTGTACCTCTTTTTTCCCCCTCTGAAATCTTGTGACCTGATCTTTTGTTAAATGGTGTTTGTGATATTTGTTTTAATGATATAAATGGTTGTACACATTTTTTTGAAAAGACGATGCCACTCAGTTTTTCCTAAACAGTCTTAGTGGAAACTTTTTTCATACATCAGCTGTCTGGTGTTTTAAACCAGGTAAGAAAAGAAAGTAAAGGAACAACAAAGGGATTTTTTAGTTTTGTTTTCAAGTCAAACAGTAACCAATAGAGATGACTGTTTAAAGAATGCTATTTATTTATGGTGCAGCCTTATTTGTTGTGTAACAAGATCAGCTGCATGAATTTATATGTGTTATTTTTCCAAGAAAGTATATTTGAATTGTTATTAGGGTTAGTCCTCAATTGCTGTTAGGGCATTAACTAATTTCCTTGATGGAAAGATAGTTGTGTAGTCCAACCTTCAAGAATATTTGATCTTTGAGTACTTTGAGTAGCATGTTAAGCTAGGAATATCACATTAATTAACACTAACCTGCTTGAAAAATCTTTATTTTTTTATTATATCACTTTCAGTGATGTAATTTTTAATTTTGTTAATGATTATGGATGTGTGGCAAACCTCCAGTGTTAGAGAGCGGTAGGGCACAAAAGAGTGGATATGTTGGTTTGATGTGTTAGAATTATAATAATTTTGTTCTGAAAGCTGTGTCAAGATATATGAGACAAGGATGCAATATTTGTTTGTGTTTTCAAGTAGTACTTCTGGTTTCTAAATAGAAATCTCACTGAAATTACTGGATTTTATAATTTTCCAAATATTAAGATTAAATTAACCACTGTAAATTATATTTTATTGGTTTTTTTTTTATGGAATCATATCCTCAAGTTTCAAAACCAGCTAAAATACTTTTTCATTCTAGCTCCATCTTGTTACAGAGGAGTTGTGGATTTTAGTTTAAATATTCTCTATTTTAAGGAGCTTACTTTTTGTAAATGAAGAAGCTTCAGTCCCTTAAAATTGAATCCCAGCTTGAATGCTTTGAGACGCTCTGATATACAGCCATAAGCTATAAAAGCTTGTCCCAAACTATAAGTACACTGTTAAAATATTTTTTTTAAATTCAGAATACTTTCTGAAGTATGTTGGAAGTTGGTGCTCTTCTTCAAGCTGCTAGGAGTCTATTGATCAATGCTGTATTAAATGTCTAATTTTTTTTTTTTTTACTGTTTCTGTCTTTTGAGAGTTTTAAATGTTGGAAATCTACCAAATATATTTTAATGGTCAGGGTGAAAAGCAATATTAAGATATATTCTTATGTTGTTATGTCAATGAAAGTCTTTACTTCCATATTTACAGTGATCTTTACTTTTATTTTACAGGACAAGATACAACCAATGCAAGTCAAAAGCAGTCTTCACCTAAACAACCAATTCAAGTAAAAGGTAAAGAAATGTTTACTGCATTGAAGCTTTGCTGCTGTTTACTAGTAGTCAAAAAAGCATGTAAGGAAACTGTGGTTCTTTTTCAATTGGGTAAAGAAGTTACGTGAATAACATTTTTAAAACACATTTGTATGTCAGATTTGTTTGATACCCATTTGTTTAAAAAGGGTTCCTGAAAATGCAAATATAGGAGTATTCCTTCTAATTACTCACTCTTCTGTGTTTGTTTTTAATTGTTTCATTTAAGCTCAGAGTTTATCAGGAAAAGACTGATTTATTTTCTCATCTGTTATCATGGTCTGTTCTCCTTGCATGTTTTTAGGCATGTCCATTCACCATCTCAGACTTAATGTGGCTAAGCTGAATACTTGATCTTCCCCTGTTCCTTGTTCTAAGTCTTCGTCTGTTCTTTCTTAGTACTGAGTTAATCTAATCAGTGTTGCTTCTAAATATATTTTGACCACAGGAAATGCCTAATCTGAGTCCTGTAATATTCCCGTTTGTGTCTGTAGTAATGTGGTGGGTTTGACACTGGCTGGACACCAGATTGCCACCCAGACTGATCTATCACTCTCCTCTGCAGTTGGACAAGGGAGAGAAAATATATGAAAGGGTCATGGCTTGAGATAAGGACAGGGAGAGATCACTCACCAAGCGCTGTCACAGGCAAAACAGATTTGACTTGGGGAAAGTTAGTTTAAATTATTGCCAGTCAGATCAGAGTACAGTAGTGAGAAATGAAAACTAGATCTTAAAACACCTTCCCCCAGTCCTTCCCTCCTTCCCAGGAATTAATCTTACTCCCAAGTTTCTCTGCCTTTTCACCCCCAGTAGTGCAGGGGGATGGGGACTGGGAGCTGGGCATAGTTCATAATGCATTGTCTCTGCTGCTTCTTCCTCCTCAGGAGAAGGACTCCTCACACTCTTCCCGTGCTCTAATGTGGGGTCCCTCCATGGGAGACAGTCCTCCAAGAACTTCTCCATCTTGAGTCCTTCCCACAGGCCTCAGTTCTTAATCAGCTGCTGCAGTGTTGGTCTTTCTTCCATGGGGTGCAGTCCTTCAGGAACAGGCTGCTCCAATGTGGGGACCCCCTGGGGTCACAAATCCTGACAGTAAACCTGTTCCAGTGTGGACTTCCCTCTGCGTGGGGCCACAGGTCCTGCTAGGAGCCTGCTCCAGTGTGGGCTTCCCACAGGGTCACAGCTTCCTTTGGGCATCCACTGCTCCAGTGTTACGTCTTCTATCGGGGACACAGCCTCTCTCATTGTGGTTCTTCACCATGGGCTGCAGAGGAACCTCTGCTCTGGCACCTGGAGCACCCCTTCCTTCTGCACTGACCTTGGTGTCTGCAGAGCTGTTTCTCTCACATGTTCTCACTCCTCTCTCTTGGCTGGAGTTGCCATTGTGCCGGATGTATTTTTCCCCTTGTTAAATGCATTATCCCAGAGGTGCTACTACTGTTGCTGATGGGCTCAGCCTTGGTCAGGGGCAGATCTGTCCTGGAGCCAGCTGGCATTGGATCTGTCAGACACAGTGGCAGCTTTGGCAGCTTCTCACAGAAGCCCCCCCTGCAACCCCTCGCTACCAAACCTTGCCATGCAAACCCAATACAAGCAAAAATATATACTTTTGTCTTCAGTTACATTGTTTAAAAATGTAAGTGGGTAAAATAAGAACATAACTTTCATGTTTTTAATTTGTCATGACTTGATTTCATTCCATCTTTATTTCGATAGTTTCTATTCTTATGTTGTGAGAATTATGCTATTAAAACTTGCTTTTGATCACTCCTAGCCTTTTGTGTATCAAAAGTCCTTCCAAAGTCCTCCATCTTTCTCAAATTTAAAGAAACATCAAATAATAATAGTTTTTCCTAACATTATCAGTGTCTATGTATATTTTCTGTGCACTTTTGTCTACATGCTTTATGTCTATTTCTTTAGGTTTATTGTCACGTAGTTGCATGCAGGGGGATAATACAAGGTAGATAGGAGAAATTACTGTGAAATTGTTGTGAAAATAGATATATCTTTTAGTAAGAAGAGTTTTCCTTCTGTAGATTATAGATGCACAAGGAACAACATTTAGGTTAAGGATTTTGATAATGCCTAGGAAGTGGAATTCTAATCTTAAGATGGTGCTCTGATCCAAATGTTATTAAGACCATTACATTTTAAAGGATCTTAAAAAACTGTGCTTTTCTAAGTGTTTTATTTACATCATCTTTTATTGAGCTTTGTCTTTCTCTTGGAAATACCAAATGGATTTTTTTCCCCCACATTTATTGTGAGTTTTATGCAGTTATTGGAATTTAGGAGTAGGATTATTGAGATATTCTGCAATGTACAATTATAGTAATTTATCTTAGTGAAATTTACCTTTGTTTCTGAAAGATGGGTTAATAAGTGTTTGATAAATTCACAAGTTACTTTTTAGTAAGGTTAATACGATTTGGGTGTGTATTTGTTTTAAATAAGAAAAGATAGGAAGCATTCTTGATTAAATATTTTCACCCTGTTCTAACCTTAGTGAATGAGGGACTGTTTTTAGGAAATCTCAAAGTTTTTTTTTTTTTTTTTGTCACTTTTCACTCAGGAGCATTGGGGGATGAATGTGATTACTCAGGTACTTAAAAAATTGTTCAAGTTCAAACTGGATGAGAGAAATCAGATTATTATGATAAATATTAATACCTGTACTGTTAGTGCATTGTTGAGTGTCAAGCAATACATTTTGCCAGTAAGGTTTCAAAACTCAATAGTATTTTTTCCTGGAGTTCTACATTGTCTTTTCTCAAAGTCTTTAGAAGCAGTATCTTTCTCTAACTATCCTGTGACATAGGTAGTAGTTCTGGACTACCTAGAGAAATCATATCAGTCCTGTGATATGCAGGAAGTTCGTGCATGCTCTAAAGTCTTCTCATGGGTAGAATTTGAGCTTTTTGTTTTCAGTTGTGTTCTGTGATGTTATATCCGTCAGAAAACATAACTCTTCTTCCAATAAGCATAATGTTTTTAATAGATGTGAGTGTATAGTGACTTACATTTGAAAATAAGATGAAGTTATGGCATAAATTTAAAATTCTGTTTATAATTTTTCTAAATATGTGTGGTATTCTTTTCTTTGTGCATGAAAATCTGATGTGATAAAAGTACATCTTCTAGACATACAGAGAAGTATAAATAAAGAATATATGTTTTTACTATAAATGCCCAATGGTAAGTGTACTAATTTTGAAAGTAATAGTTGAGAACAATGACACATACAGTCTGTCTCATTTCTCTGTATGGTCTGCAAAGGTCAAAAATCTGATTTGCAGAAGGTGGAATTGGTTAAGTATTGGAAAAAATTGAAATGCAGCTATCTGTTGCTATTTCAGTTGCTAGAGCAGAGGTTTCCAAATTGCCTTATTTAAATGCTACCTGTGTAGCCAAGCACCATCTCCGACGTTGAAGTTGGAGAAGTAGCTGACAGTGGCAGTTAGGTATGTGGAATGCTTGAGCATCCTGAACTACAACTGAACAAGTAGCATTTTTGGAGATAAATCATTCTACTCTTACTCATTTCCACAATGAGGAAGATTCCTTTCTCTTCTCTGTAGATTTCTGTATCACTGGCAAGCATTGTTTTTCACATGTCACCTTCGAGGTATGAGACTAGACTGAATTGGTTTTTGAAGTTTCTGCCATAGTTTTCATGAATGATTTAACTTGCTTATCTGTTTCTGTTTTTAAGTGAAAGCAGTCCTTAAAAAAAGAGAGTACGGACCAAAATACACCCAAAATAACTTCATCACTGGAGTCAGAGCAATAAATGAATTTTGTCTTAAGTCCAGGTATGATGGGTATGATGAGTTTGAGTTGAAATTTAAATTCTGAATATTTGTTCATATGTGCAACAAAAGTAATTGTGATTGTAGAGTGATTTGGCATGGCAACTTTTTCTAAGTGTTTTTGTGGTATACATAATTTTAAGTGGCTGAAGTTAGTTCTTTTTTACTTAGTGTTACAGTGGATTAGGAGCCTGCATTGAATTTGCATGTTTTGATAGTTGCTTCGTAAAGTAATTTATTTGTACTTATATGACCATAAATCTAATTGGGGGGAGACCAACTCCTAGAGCAGCTTTATGGGAGGGATGTCAAATAAATCGATTCAGCATTTTGGGGTCATGATGGTTTGATGTGAACATCTCTAAAAGATCAGTGGAAACTTCATGTTACGTGAGGTCTGTAATTTGGAATAAAATATAATTTGGTTTGCTGTAACCTAACTATTGTTACTTGATTCATGTTTACTGCCTTTTACTACATGCCATACCTGCCAGCAGGTTTACTGAGTATTGTTTTAGGTGAGGTGTCTGTCAGATTTCATACACGTTATGTATGTGACCCATATTAAATCTAAAGGGGTAGCAGCTTTGTTTATAACTTTTGTGCTGTTGCTGTTCCTCCCCATTTTTTACTTTTACTGTGTGTCACTATAATTAGTCTTTGCCAAGGATACAGTGACAAATAATGGTTGGTCTTCTGCATTATATTTATCATAACTAGTTAAAGTTTTGCTGGATTGACCAAAAGGGATAAGAATAAAGAAAAAAAAAAAGAAAAAAGGACTAGATAATTTGTGGGGCTAAAAGTTAGATCTTCTGTTGTATTTTAAAAAAAAAAATCCTTAATGCTTTTCAGTGTAGATGACCTAATGTGTTAGCCAGCCCAGGAAATTAATTTGTTTCCCGAAGTAGCTTTGTTACCTTCAGCCTTTTGCAGCTTGTGCTGTGTGTGTAGGTTTTGGGGTTAAATTTCCTAACTTTTCTTGTCACATGACTTCTGACGCCTGTTTAGAGATGCTAATTCATTAACCCTCTTGTCTAGCTAATTCATTAACCCTCTTGTTGTGCACATTATCAGTTACATGCAGATAATTTATTGGATGTTTTATTATTTAATGTTACTACTTTGTCTTCAGTGTATAGTATTTCATGGTGTGTGGACATGATGTGAAAAACACAATAGTTTTCAGTAGTATCATGGAGATCACTTGCTTCATGTGGTATATATGTTCTTTTTGACAGAAGTTAACAACTTCACTTTTTGTGTATAGCAGATTAGTAATATCAAAATTGTGGAACATCACCCAGATATAAAAGTCAAATTAGAATAATATGAACCTTTTCCTGCACTAAACTCTTTGTCCACTTTGTTTAGTGATTTAGACCAGCTGAGGAAAATTAAACGACGAAGTCCCCATGATGACACTGAGACTTTCACCGTATACCTGAGATCAGATGTAGAGGCAAAGTAAGAGCATTTTTATGAAGGAAAATGTTTGAATTATTTAAAATGGATTAAATGAGAGAGAGAGAGAGGAAAAAAAATTTCAAAAGTTAGGTGTGCAATGTGAAAGGGAAATAATGTTTTCTATTTTCTATATGAACAGATTTTGTGTCCTAATTATTGTAATAATTACATTGTTATGTAATTATATTATATAAAATTGGAGGGTATGTTTTTGTGCTTGTATTCAACCCCCTCTTGCTGAGCTTTTTATTGTGTACTGTAGTCTGCGGGGGTTCTTATCAGAAAGAGTACTTTGTTCTGCTTTAGGAAAGGCATTTTTAATGTAGTCAAACTGAAAAAAAAGTTGCATGAAGAGGACCATTGTTAAGTTACTTTTATTTCATTCAGGTCTCTTGAAGTTTGGGGTAGTCCAGAGGCTCTTGCCAGAGAAAGAAAACGGCGTAAAGAGGCAGAGATCAAGTACAGAGAAAGTGAGTACAGAGTTTTCAAATAACTTGAAATGTAAACAACAAAGTATGATTGTTGGAAATCCACCAGATAGTGTGTTATTTCCCTGAGAACATCTACATTGGGAATTAGCAATTGCTTATTAGGTTTTATAGCATAATGTTAGAATAACATGTTATGATCTATGCAGATACAGTCTGTTACTATCTTACAATTTATCATCTTTGTGCTATAGCAAGAATATACCTTCAGTTGAGATCTATAGTCATACTCTTTTGGGGGGGCTTTCAATTTTTAGATGATAGTTTACATTTTCAGTGAGTTTGCATTTTTTTTCTGATTTAGAATTTTGAAAATACTTAAAACTGATCCAAATCTCTATACCATACCATTACTTATTTATTTTTCCTCTAAAATTAATTCAGCTTGCCTTTGTGTTTCAGAAGGGGAGAAATACCCCCAAATTGTCTTTTTTTACTTAATATTATTGTTTTTACCTGTGCTGGTATTACCAATAACAGATACAGTCAAATCAGTACTTTTTAATGTATTTGGATCTGTCTAGTCAGTTAAAATCACAGGAGAGGCAATGCTGCTTCAAGGTACTTAGTGAAGTTGTACGCCTTAAAATTAGAGGTCCTGTCAATTTCTTTAAAACAGTTGTGCCATAGGAACACCCTTCCAGTAAAAAGATTAGAACTGCAGGCACCTGTTAAACTATCAGTATGTGTTTGTACTGAGATGCAGTCAGTAGCTTCAAAATTTTTATTGACCTGCAAAATAATTATTGGATATAAATAAGATACCTGAATTTGGTGAAGTGTATTCTGAGTTTTTTCCTTCTGTGCATCATCCTTTGTTGGTATAAATGGCAACAGTGTATAGGATCATAACATTGTATTTGGCATTTTGCATGAGTGTATAACAATGTGTGTTTCTAATTAACAATACCAAAGGAGAAATTTTTTTACACTTAAGATAGATCATGTAGCTCTTATTAGAAGTTGGCTGCTGCATAAAAAAAGTAGACTTAAATTCCTGAAACTACTGGTTACTAGTACATATTTATGATGATAATTTTGTATTGCAGATCTATTTAGAAACCAAAGGCTGTTGTGGGAATACAGGGAGTTCTTTGGAAATACTAAGGTAAGGATGCTTACAAGTTTTTGGCTAGAAAAGTGTCATGACATGTACTATGACACTTTTTGAAGGAAAATTTCTGAATGGTTGCATAAGCTTAACTAACTGAATATTATAGGAACATTTATTTGCATTGTAATATACCAGATCCATCTCTGATTGTAATGCAGTAGTAAGTGTTATGATGACAGTTTAGACGGGTTCCTACTGTGACAGTGTAAACCACCAGTAAGTTTTTTTTTTTCCGGTTGGCTTCTTATCAAAATTGTAGCTATACTTGTGATTTCATTTATAACCTATTAATATCTATAGCAAATATATTGTTAATTTAAAGAAATTAAATAAGTTTCTTAAAGAAAGGACCCCAAAAGATTAATACTTTTGGCTATGCACTACTGTCCCTTCTGCTTTGCTTAAGCAGATACATGCCTGAGATCCTGGTGCTCTGCTGTGTGGAATGATTTCATAATTGTTCTGCTGCACAGCTGGTGCCTGGCCTTATGGCTGCAGTGGCCTCTGCTGGAGACTTTGCTGGTTGTTTATTTTATAGCCGTCCATCTGTTGAAATATATAAGACCCAACTGCAGTTTGGCTGAACATTCAGTAGAGAATTAGTTGTCTTCAAGGATTGTAGCTTCACTTCTGCAATACAGGGCATTGCAAAGTTTTTTATTTAATAATTTGTGTGGTAGGTGTCTCATGAGGTCAAGATTTAGTTGTTTAATAATCTGTTATTTCTTTATGTAGCCACGCTCCAGTACAGCAACTATGTTTTTCAAGGGACCAGGGAAGGTGGTAATGGTAGCTATTTGCATGTAAGTAGAAAAACTATTTTGTTTATGCAAGTATAAAGCAACTTATTTTTATTCTCCTGGAAATAGGAACAGTGTGTGTATTTAAGATAAAGATATCTGTATGTCTGTAACTGAAGTTAATAGATTTGTTTGTTCATTGTTGATGGGAGAGTTCATGTGAATACATTCATCAATATATATACAGATCAGGTATTGAATAAATGTCTGATGCGAAAAGAGCAGATTTTTTTGAGTTGGAGATTAAAGTTTATTAAAGTAAAATTTTGAAGGACAGGAAGGGACAGTAAAGCTGTCCTCTTTTTCTTGTTCCTTCTTGAGAGGAAGATTTTCATACATTTGAAACAGTCTTCTGCATAACCAACAGAAAAGAATTCACTTTTCTCTTTATGCTGTTATTTAACTCCTTTCTTCTCTAATTGAAAAAGGGATATTTTAGGAGCTTTTTCCCTTTCACATGTTTTAAAAGTTTGAATGAAACAAACTAATGTAAAGCAAATGTTCACAGAGACTATCTGGCATGAAATAGGGAGAAGTGTGTTAAATTTTTCTCAGGAAATGATGACTAAAACTTATTTGCCATGAAACCTTATAGTTTTAAAATAAATTATTTTTATAAAAGCTATTTATTTGCTAAGACACTGTTGATATAAGAAAGCAAAATACTAACAGAGGAAAATGCTTGTTTTGGCACAGGAAACAAAACGAATTTGAGCAGGAAGTAACTTTTTAAGGTCCTACAAAACTATATTCTTTTACTTGGGGAGTTAAAATTCAAAGCTCGCTTGACTGAAAACCTCCCACTTTATTGAGTATTCTACTAGTAACTGTTCAGAGCCTTCTAAGTTAAAAACATGTAAGAATTGCTAGTACAGATGTTTCTAATGGAAAAAAAAGAGGGGGTGTTGTGATCATTTCTACCTCTTTCTGTTTCTTATAATGATATAGAGAAAATAGACCCGTCCTCTTGCTCTGTAGGTAGGGCATTGCTATAAACATAGCAAAAATACCTTTTGGATGATTAGGTATTTTTATACATGAATGCCTGGCAACCAGGCCAGCAGATGTTTGTAGAGACTGTTGTGTTGCTCAGACACCTTTTTGTGGAGCTTTTTTAGAAGTTCAAGTGACTCTTGGCCCTCAAATACCTGATGACTTTTCAGAGGTTTAAGTCAAGGCCACCATCAGTGCTCCTTTGTTGGTGGTCTTGGTCTTCTTTTTAATGGTTTCTGGCTTTGTGTCAAGAAAGCCCAATCTGTCTTAACTTCTTCAGTTGGAATGATTTGGTAGACTTTTAACAAACTTCAGCCTTCCCCAGTGAGGATGAAATGTGGTTCAATTGAAAGCAGAGTTGTGAATCTGTGTGTGAAAGTATAGACCAGCTGCACTGGAATGCTCTATGTTGTGAATAGAATTCGGTGTGTGAGGGGGAACTCTGTAGCTCTGTTATAGAAATACAGGAGGGTAATGTTTTTTATCAAATCTGTTACTAGCAAAACATTCTCCAGAGTCTGGTGTTGTTGAAGTGATTTCACTGTCACACTAATGCTTTACCTTTTAAGCAGTACAAAGTTTGCAAGGCATATAATATTTTTTAAAAAATACTGGTGGCGAAGTATGTTAGTAATGTTACCACTTCTTTGGAAATAAGTGTTTTTATTTATCAAATCCAAGGCCTAAATAGAAGATTTTTTTTCCATAGCTTCGTGATGGATCTGAATAATTTCAGGTTTTTGTTTTTTTTTAAATTCTGACATTTATTTTTTTACTGTTGTTTCTTCAAAAGTCTAAATATTTCATGTACCTAGACAGAGATGTTTAATCACACCACGTCCGTCTAGATCAGTATCTTATGCTGTGAGATCATCATGGCTAATGAGATAAGATATATGCTGTGAGATAAGAGTATAAAAAATGGGCAGTCACATGATGGCACAATTCCCTATATATATTTCTCAATTCTCTGTATTTCATGTACCACATATTCATCTTGGAGTTATGAGATGGTTATCTTTGAAACAAATTTGGAATGATAGATCTGCAAATGCAAGTATTAATGCCCTTTAATTTTTTCAAGTTTACAGTTCCGTCAGAATAGGTTTATTTGAATTTGTTGCAATTATAACTGAAATTGTGAAGTTGGGAAACTTGATTTGTATAATTGATTTTGACCTACTTTTGCATTTGTGTATTTCTTTTCAAAGAAAGGCTGATTTTGTTTACGTATCGGTATATTTTAAAGTTACCAACTAAATTTAGACTTTACGCTAAAATTGACAGGTCTTCTGAAGATATGTACTGTTTCAACAATCCTCCCCTCATTTTGCTGGTGAATGTCTGCCTCCTAAGTGGACTTTGTTTATAACTTACAGTTATAAACAGTTGTATAGAATTTTATCTAATGAATCATGGGGTTTTGTTTTTTTTGGTTTTAGTATTTCATGGCACAATGTCCAAAACTTTACAATAAATCTTTCAACCTTTAGTAGATTTGATCTGTGTTCTGTTCAGTTTCCATGCAGATAGAAATGAGGTAGCTAAATCAGTCAGTTCAGTGCAGTACAACAGAGAAAATACTTTCTGAATTGGTGGTCACTGGTGTAAAAGATAACTTCATTTCAAATCTGTTCAGAGTATTTTAGCTGCCTTCTCAGAATCTGCTGGGTTTGGATTATTTTTTTCTCTGCTGTGGTATTTCTTCAGCAGAATTTAGGCTTTCATAGGGCTTATTATTTTCAAATACAGTGCTGAATTTGTTTTAAAACTGACTTTTTTGTATTGTTATTCATGTGAATATCTAGTCAAACATGGAACACTGAATAGCCTTAATGGCTCTGTAGACCCACTATGTTTTTTGTAATTATTTCCTGTGTAGCATTCTTCATCTTTCTGTCCTATCACAACGTACTTGACATCATTAACAGATTGATTTTGCTGGGCCCAACATCTGAAAACCCTAGTGTGGCTAAGGTTCAAATAAGAATTAGATTTCTAGGATATAAAATTCCTTCACAACTTTGGAATTTGTAGGGGTGAAATAAAATACCAGCTGAGTGCCTGTTGTGCCATCTCAACAGGTGTGAGCCGCACAACTGAAATGGACCTTCAGATAAACTCAACACCTTATCATGTTTAGCTGAAAGGGTGTTTTTAACAGTAACCATGCAGAAAATCTGTATGCATTGTCTATCTGTACAGGTCTCTAATGATTAAACTGATATTTGGGTTTACCACTTTCTGGCAGGTAATGCATACAGCATTTGTGGTTTTGTTGAAAATATTAAACACCAAATATTCTGTTGTTCTTTAGCTTTTTTCTTCTCTTGTTTCCAGAAATGGGTTGAATTTTTTCTTTAAGCTACTTGCTTGGGTTTACACGGGTTCTGCAAGTATGTTTTCAGAAGCCATACATTCTTTAGCAGACACATGTAACCAGGTGAGTATTTTTTCCCATTCTGTACTTGTAATAATTTTCAGGAATAAAGAAAGATCCTTATAGTAGCTGTATTGCACTTGAATAAAAATAAAAATTGGATGGTTTTTAATTTGCATTAATGTAAAAACAAGACAAGTCAGAATGTAGATTTTGAAGTTTTTTTAGAAATATGTTGAAAGAGAGGAGTTGCAGTAAGCAGAACTATACTCAGCTGCTTCATGGCTCATGAGTGGAATGTGAAACTAAGATGATGTACAAAGTGTCTCTCTTTCTTATTTTGGTTAATATTTTGGTTAAATGTTAATTCAAAATACTTCTGTCAGTTATTATAATACAATGACAAACTTGTTACTTAGTCATCTCTTGGTAGAATAATGAGAATTCGAGCATCTTGGTTTCTTTTTCTGTTCCTTGATTACCTTATCAGCCTCTCACAGCACAAGTAGCCACATATTTGGCATGTTTACTTTGATAAGTGGTGTGGCAAACTCAGAATTAGGCACATAATATTAGTGTGCAGAGATAAAATTAATGTTTCTTCCACTGTTTTCTATGATATGCTTGAAGCATATGTTGTGAGACCTTGAAATTTTCCCTTCTCCCATTGTGGTAAGAATCTGTCTTGTTGCAGTGTTTGATATAGCGAGGCTTTGGAAACAAAAAAACCCAACCCTTAAAGATGAGTGACTGAAACCCTCCTGCAGCTCAAGCAAGAGGAGTCCTTGGGTAACTTGTGACTACTAAAATGCAAATTTGAGGAGTATATGGGACCTTAGAGCAAACTGAATATCTTGAAGAGCATATTAGAATAGTTTCAGCAACCTTTTTGCTTGGGTTGGACCTAGTATGCTTCTGTATCCAGAAAGACTGAGTTGAGGACTCACATTTTGTTTGTTGTTTTTACACAACCTTTCAGCTGTTCAGATGTAAAGTGAAGATGGGGTGCTACTAACTCAACTGCTAGTACTTAAATTTACGGGGAGACCAGCCTTGAAGTGGCCAAGTGTGTCAATTTATAGGTGAATCAAGCTTGATAGTGGTATTATATATGCTGAAGGGATGTTCCACTGAAATGTGGTTTGTTTTTTTTTTTTTCCCCCAAATATTTGAGTATGTGGTTTTGGGAAAAACACAGGAGACACCTTGCTTCCTCAAAGCACCTTGCTGCTGCTACTTAAAGTGTCTAAGTTTTAATACTTGTTATTATGTTTCAGTAATTCATAGTCCTGAAACAAAACACATGCTTTGCAAAATTGAGGTATAGATTTATAACTTACTGCATCAGTAGCTTAATACGTGCCGAATTAAATATGTTGCAGATAGGTAATTTAGATAGCAAGATTTTTTTTGTCTTCCTTAAAAATAGACTGCAAAAACCTGCTGTGTAAAGTAGATGCTTTAAATGTAGTATGTCATCACCATGCTACACCACAATCTCAATATAATTTCTCTTCAAGAGGGATTTATTTAAACAACTTTGTTCCCTGAGAAACCTCATTCCTTCACATTGAAGCACAGCAACAACACTTTTGATTGCATGTAATGTTCACTTTTAGTTGCAATTCTAAAATTATAATTAACAGTAATTATATATACACACACCATGTAATTGCATATATATTATATTTATTGGTATAACTAACAATTTCTTGGAGGTGGTATATTTAGATGACAGATTTTGAGGATTATATTCCAACTCTAGTAAAATATCAATAACAAAACATATATGCAGGTCAAGAAATTGCATTTGCCTTTATCTCTGAAGTTCAGTTGATATAGAATGTTTCTAATTTATTTTCATGTTCAGGTTTTTTTTAACAAAGTCTTTTTCCTTTTGTCCTGTATAGGCATTGCTAGCTTTGGGCATCAGTCAGTCTGCAAGGACACCTGACCCTAGTCATCCGTAAGCTTTTTGAGTAAATAAAGATTTTGTTAACTATATATAGGAGTAAGATCTGTTCTTGTTTTTGCATCACTTTTTTTCTTTTTAATCTGCTGTTTTGTGTCATTTCAGAAATTTTTTGTTTCTGATTTTACAATAGATAAAATAAGAAAAGGGTTTTCTCCCATGCTTCAGGAGTTGTAATTGTAGCTTCAGTGGCTTTGTGCATGTGTAGTTTGTTTTGTTTTGTTTTTTGTGGTATGCTTTTGCTATGTTTTATTTTAATTGACATTATTTCTCTAAGTTGTTCTGGGCTCTTCTACCTCTTCCAGTGAATAGATCTAAACACTGTTCATGTGAATCACAGGATTTTTTAAAAAATAAAAATTACTGTCCTTTTCCTTTTTTTAACAAGAGCTTTGCTGCAAGGCAAATTACTCCTACCATAAGGAGATGTATTTGACTTAAACTGCTCTTTGTTTTTATCTGAGTAATAGGGATATTACTTGATAAGTTCTTACATCTTCATGAAAATTATAAGCTATATTCTCCATGACATTTTCTTGGTGTTGACCTGGTTTATACTTCATATGTTTGGACAAGTCATTCATCCTGTAAACACTAGTTCAAAAATACATCTAATTTACAGAATTAGTTAAACTTTTTTTCATTAAGAGCATCATTAAAATTTGAAACATTTAAATCTTAAATTTCTCCACATATTCATTGTATCTCCTTCCTCTGTCTCACTTCTTTCCCTTCTTTCTCAATATAGTCAATAGAACAACATACTGGTTTCTTAAATGTGGCTAAAGAAGTGTATTGTTTGTAGTAGCAGTTAATACAGGAAAAAAAGAATAAAGGTACACTGCTTTAACTCTTCCCACTTAGAACTGTGCTCTTAAAAACTGCAAGTGTTGAATGTCCCTAGTTATCTACTACTGAAAGATGTATACGATTTATTTCCTTTAAATTAGCATTATAAATTATGTAGACCAGCCACCTACAAGGCTAGAGTTCTCATTTAGAAGTAGCATTTCATTAGCATGTAAAACTGACATGAATGTTGGTGGGGTTTAGGGCTTTTTTGTTGTTTTTTTTGTTTGTTTTGTTTTTTTTACAGTTGTAAAATTCTCAATCTCTGCACAAGACCCAATTCAGCTATTTAAGAACAATTTAGGAGAATATCTATGCTTGATGTTCTTGCATGTACGAGATCCCTTTTTCAAGTGGCTTTTTTTTCCCCCTTGAATTAGATTGGGATTTAGTAGCTTTGTCTTAAATAGATGCCAAGTCATATGATGATAATTTAAGATGTGAAAATTAGTAGAAAAACTTTGAGGTATGTTTGCAGAGATACAGAATCTTATATTCCTAAATCACTTCCTTTGTTTTCATCTAGGTATGGTTTCACAAACATGCGCTACATTGCCTCCCTGATTAGTGGAGTAGGCATTTTCATGATGGGTGCAGGACTTTCTTGGTATCATGGGATCATAGGTTTACTCCACCCTCATCCTGTAGAATCTCTTCTCTGGGTAAGCTAATCTTGTTTGGTATTGTATTTAACAAGTGACTTAATAAAAAATAATAGCATAGTCTGAAATTCTCTTTCTGAGTCAGTTTGAATCCCAACACAGTTAACTCAAACCACCCTTAATGAGAATATGTTTTAAGAAAAAAAACCTTGTTAAACTACAGCTGATCTTGCAGCAAAAGTGTTCTTTAAGCCCTGCATCTTCCTTCATACCTCCCAAGAGGTCCTCCTTTCCTATTGCACTATATTGCATAATGCAAATATTGTTGGTTTCCTTCTGTTTAGGGACAATTACACGGCACAGAGGTTCTGAAATGCTGTGTTTAGGTAGTCTGTGATGAAGAGATCTGTACAAATATGCATATAACATAATAATTTTTTTTTCCATACAGGCATACTGCATTTTAGCAGGGTCATTGGTATCTGAAGGAGGTATGCAGTTTCAAGAAATATTTCTATTTACATATTTGTAATTTCTTAAGATTACTGTGTGAGTCATTACAGTAATAATTGATCCTTGTTTACACAGTGAAGTTTTGAACTCTGTTGGAAATAGTTGTAATCAAACAAAAAAAAGTGGGAAAGCATTTTTTTTTTTCTTAAATGTCTATATAATAATAAGTCAAAGAACACATAATTTGGAAAGTAGACATGGAGTGCCGTTTTTGTATTAAACTATCAGAGAATGTAACTGTTCTGATTTGTATGGAGACACATAGAAAAGATAGTAACTATGCTTTGTTGTTATTCAAAGTTATCAATAATCAGAGCTTCCTTGATGATCTGTTGCTATGACATAAAGAGAAATTCCTCTTCAAAATGGAAACAAGTCTTTTTGCCTCTAACCATTTTCAGCAACAACTTTGGTGTTGTTTCAGCTACCCTTCTTGTTGCTATAAATGAAATTCGCAGGAGTGCTCGTGCCAAGGGCCTGTCATTTTATCAATATGGTATGTGTCATTACAGCAGTAAGGTATGTGGTTACTTAAAACAGAATCTGTTCACTAGCATAATGATAGAAACAATTTTCTCTATTTTCCCTTTCCCCTTGCTTTATTGATCTGTTTTCTATTCTAGTAGCAAATAACATTTCACAGATTAGGTGAAAACTGTTGTTTTAAGTACTGCTACTTAAATAGTTGGCTGAAGTGTTTGTATTTTTCAGGATAAATGCCCCTTTTAACTTTTCAAACGTTTTTGAGAAGCTTCCATAATTTGGCTTGTTCTGTGTATTTATAAATGCTTTCAGAAGTGTGTGCATTTGCAAAAATTCAGTTTACACCTATATAGTTATGGAAATTTTTTTAAAGTTGCTGTTGTTAGTCTAGTTTAAGTACTGTGCGTAATGTAGTAAAGCTAAACTTTCCAAAGCAATTAACTTTTTTTTATTGTATGTGCAGTTGTGCAGAGTCGTGATCCTAGTACAAATGTGGTGTTACTGGAGGATGCTGCAGCAGTTTTGAGCGTGGCTGTAGCTGCTACCTGTATGGGTCTGACTTCTTTAACAGGTAAAATTCTGCACAGAGGCAAAGCAGGATGTGGATTTACTCTTGTGTGTGATAGGAACACAGTGCATTGTTTCTATAGGTGTCTCTGCTCTTTTTTCTGATGCTTGTACTCTGTAAGCAGATGGGTCTAACTTCATTTTGAGCTGTTTTGGCGTACAAATGAAATTATGTTTTACTAGAAGAATATTTATTGCAGTCAGTTATCACTTTGTGCCATGTTGGGATTACATAATTTGGGCTTCCTTAGTAAGTGGTGCACAGCTGCAGAAGGAAGCAGTTCTTTCCTTCCTTTTGATACATAGTGGCACTAGTGTCATCTTCAGTAACAATAGCTGCTCCTGAGCAGTGTGGCAAACCTAACTCATGCAGGTAGGATGGTCTGCATGGCAAGTGTTTCAAAGTATGTCTTTGCTGCACAGTGAAGTTTTCTAAAGAGGGGTGATGATTTATCCCTTTTCAACTATTGTCTTTTTAAAACAATAAAGATTGTAATTTTGTTTATTTGTGGCTTCTAATGAGTTAATTGCAAGTTTAATTTTTTTTATAGGAGTAATTTTTTTCTTTCATCTCTAGCTTCCTTCATGAACTTAAAAATACAGTACTATTTCTACAAATCTGAATAGGAATGAATAAGTGAAACTTTTATAATAAGTACTGTATTCCAGAAATATTTAATACTTGCAAATTTTTGAGTTACTGATAAAAGAACACTGACTTTTTTTCTATTACCTATGTTTAGGTGCATATAACTTTGTGTATAAATTTACCTTTATTTATTATTATTCCTGATTTATTGATTAGCTCCCCTTTACTTCACTCTATTATATACTTTAATTTATTATTATACCTTTATTTATATATACCTTAATTGTATTATATACCTTTATTCATTATACCTTTATTTATTATATACCTTTATTTATTATATACCTTTATTTATTATATACCTTTATTTATTATATACCTTTATTTATTATATACCTTTATTTATTATATACCTTTATTTATTATATACCTTTATTTATTATATACCTTTATTTATTATATACCTTTATTTATTATATACCTTTATTTATTATATACCTTTATTTATTATATACCTTTATTTATTATATACCTTTATTTATTATATACCTTTATTATATAGAAACCCATATAGCTGACAAGAGTTTACTCGTGTATTAGTCCTGCAGGAGACAGGAGTGGCCAAGGGACAGGAGGAACTTAAGACTTTATCTTAAGATAGCCTGTTTTCTTTCAGCTTCATCTTGTTCCTCCACATAGGAAAGGATTGCCACTGAATTAAAAAAAACTCCTCAAAAAATGGACCAACCAACCAACAACCCCCCCCCCCCAAAAACACAAACCAGAAAGAAAATCAACCCAAAAGCAAAACCCAAAACAATCTCTCAAAACTGTGTTCTGTTTTCAGTGTGAAATTGAAATTCTCTGCTATGTTTTAGAAAAGCTCTGTGAAACTAATTTGATGTATCTTGTTTAGGAAACCCATATTATGACAGCGTGGGGTCTCTAGGTGTTGGAACTTTGTTAGGAACTGTCTCAGCATTTCTGATCTACACTAACACTGAAGCCCTGCTGGGACGATCCATTGAACCTGAACAACTGCAGCGACTCACTGAGTTACTGGAAAGTGATCCTGTAGTAAGGTAAGGATCTTTACAGCTCAATCTCTACTAAGAACAACAAAAAGCAAGAAAATAGCATTTGGAAAAAATAGTTCAAGCACTTTAAATGAGAGAAATCTGATGAGATTATTTTTAGTGTGGATTCTTCTGTACTGAGATTTTAGAATCGTTATTATAGCTAACTTCTGTTTCTGTGCTAAAACTTTCAGTAAGTGAATACTTGTACCTCTCGGATGTTCCACAGCTGAAATAAGATTGCAGATATGTTCTAACAGCATTAATTACAGGAATTGACAATGACTTAGTGAGGAAACCATCACAAACTTAAAACTCTTTTCAAATGCATGAAATGCAAGCACTTAAATTATACTGTTCTGTTACTTTTATAGTTTATTAGCACTTAAATATTTAAATTCTGTTAGTTAATATTCAGTGTCTGGAATTCTGTAGCAATTGACAAGTGCTGCAGTAGTATTATGATGTAATAGATTCTGCATTTTAGATGCTTATAAAATTAACTCAGTGCTAATTTTCTTTGCAAGTCTGCAGTTTGTAGTAAACTTACAGGTCATTGTAATTCTGAAATTTTGCTTAAATGCTTTTCAAGGAGCTATTTTACCCTTAACCCTACTAACCTTGATTTAGAAGCAAACCCCTTTTTCGTCTTTATTCAGGAATGTACTACTGTGTAAATCAGCTGAAATATTTTAGTGCTTTTTTTATTTGTAGTCGTTTCTGACCTGTGGAGGAAAAAACCCTAAGCCCATTACTTAATACCAGAATACTTGAAAGAAACTAAGTGCTGCATCATCTCAGTTGCAAGCAAGAGGTCTGGACAACATACCCTTCATTCCAGAAACTAAACAAGATTCCTATTTGGAATAGAATTGTGTTAGAATTTTCACGTCAGTAACTAAATTATTTTAAAGTATTTGTGGTCGCCCTGAAATAGTCTGAATGATGAAGCATGTGTCAGCGGTGCTGTGTTAGAGTAGGTGAGTTCACACGATTATTCATACATGGTTTCTCTAGTTCTTTTTTCCAAAGTGAGCAGATGGCTTTTGCTTGTCTCAGGCTGAAATAATAAAATTTCTCCTAGGCCAAGCACTATTTTATATTGTATTCCATTTTGTAGATGGCTCTAGCTTTTCAACAGAGCAGACCTAGTTCGTCTCCTTCTTGTTTTAGACTTTTTTTTTAAAACAAGTACCTTAATTTTAAAAAAGTATGAATAATAAAAGAAGTGAAGACTTCATGAGAAACTGCATGTTTTTTTCCTGAGGTTAGAAGCTGAAACATGTTTATGTACTTCTCACACCTTCTGTGTGCAGTTTTTCTTCAGTTATCTCTTTCTTAGATCCATTATATTATCAGCTTTGATTTTTTTTAGAAAAAGGTTCTTCACCCAGGAGGTAGTTGGGTACTGGAACAGACTCACCAGGGAAGTGGTCACAGCACCAAGCCTGCCAGCATTCCAGAAGCGTTTGGACAACACTGTCAGGCACATGATGTGATGCTTGGGGATGGTCCTGTGCAGGGCCAGGAGTTGGACTCAATGATCCTTGTGGGTCCCTTCCAACTTGGTATATTCTGTGCTTCTGTAAACCATCTCCCAGAGCTCATATGGAAAATGCACAATTGCCCCTTTCTCTGTACCATTTGTCACGTGCATTTCCAATCTCTTAAAAGAAGTTGGTTTGTATTATGTTTCATCTATCAGTTTGTTGGACTTCGTAATTTCTACTTTAGGCTTGTGGCTCTTTATTTCTCCTTTCTTTTCATTTTTCTGGGTAATATCTAGTTGTATCCCATATTTAACTTGTGATCCAGAATGGACTTTCAGAGTTGCTCTCAGCTGGAAAATGATTTGATTTTATTTTTGATGTAAAAACATTCCATTCTTAACTCTCATTGACACTTTTGGTGCCTAAATCTTTCTCGTATTCAACTTAACTGAACTGTGGGAGATTAGCTTTTCAGAACTGTGAAATAAAATATGTGATGAGGTATAGATTGTCCTGATTCTGTTTTTATGCATTGCAATCATAGATTCCTAGGCATAAACTATTCCTAGTGATGGTTTAATCTTTAATTTTACTTCATTGTAACAGCTATTGCGTAGGTGTGCTACAGTTGTGGTGGAAAATCTGTCATTCTGTTTTGGAGGAAAAAAAAAATTACAACTGATTGCTCAAACCCATAACTTGATGTTCTCTGACAAATTTTTCTTTAATGTAAAATTTACTTTTTTCCCTAGTTGAAATTAATAGTGTCTACTAACCATCCAGTAGCTTCCATAAGGAAGTTTCTAGCTTAAGTTTTAGCATACACATCTGCATTTTTGAATGATTAGTGATTTTTCTCCTCTCGACTCAGTCTTATCTTTCCTGGACAGATTATGTGCAGTAAGGTAGATTTTTTTTCCCCTCACATTTGCAAAACGTGCATCATTTCACTGACTTTTATCAGGTTACTGATTAATGAGAATCTCAAATATCACTTGTTATCTTCTTGTTTAGGTCTGATAGGCACTTGATATGTCTTCAATGTTTTTGAATCACATGGCTTCAAATTCTCTTCAGTAACCACATCTGTTGTCTTAAATACCCTCTTTGTGACCAGGTAGTTTGATGCCAGCCAGATTACTCCAGTAAATACTGTTTTGATTTGGTATCTTCCCACAGAATAGCTGTATAAATTTGAATGGAGCTGGAAAGTCTTTATTGCTACAAGTAAGCTGATAGTTTTTTTTAATCTGTTTAAATATTTACTAAGATCTATTTCTTGGTGTCTCTATATTTAGTTCATGCTCTATTTTTTTTTTTAATATGCTTACCTCTCCTCTACCCTGAGTATTACAAGAAGTATTCCATAAAAATTTCCTGTGATTGTTCATCTTAAAATTTCCGTCTCCTGTTCTTTTTTGGCTGTTCATTCTAACAGGCTCCTTTCAAGATAACATGCCTTCTGCTTTCTTCCAACACCTACTGTGAAGTTAGTTCTGATTTATAAACATTCAGATGAAAAGAAACATTTCTAGTTGGGAAGAGCAAATTTGCTTAAGGCAAAGGGCATGCTAAAATGTAAAGATTCTGTGAAATTGCACAACTTAGCAAAATGAACGAGGAATAAGTTTGGTACTTTGAAGTGAGCTGTGTTGCTGAATCTAAATTTTATGTTAGAATTAAAAAATTGTCAAGAATGCATTTTTTGTTAATAAAACTAAAAGTCTTTGGAATATTTTATACTTGCTTTGCTTTGGGAATGTTAGAGGCAAGAATTTAAAAAATTTGAAACTTTTGTGATTTATATCCCTTATTTTAGTCTCCACTTGTTTTTTTTTTTTCTGGCGTGGATGGAAAAATGTGGAAACTTACTCTGTAGTGGCAATTTTAAATTCTCTTGGCTTTAAAGATAAACTGAATTTTTGTCAACCTCATTAGAAAAAAATTGAGTATTTTATTTTTTATTTATTTCATTGTTGAAATGCATTACAATGTGTCTTGGTCTTGAATTTGCTTCTTATCCCTGAAAAATAGAGTTTTTGTTTGCTACCTATATTCACACATCATTGAGTTTATCTAACAAACTGGAACAAAACTGTGCTATAGAAAAAAAGAATTTTTCAAAGAACCAAAATATAAGCATATTACAGCTTTCATATTCTAGTATTGATTAGAAACCTTTAGATAAATATACAATTTCAGCATTTACACACAGCTGTATTTTGGTAAGTCATGATCAACTGTTCAGTATGATCAAAAATGAGTTCCAAACAAAATATCCATAGCTTTTTCTTATAACAGATGTATCTGAAAATTCTTCAGAAGTTGATGCCTTTACCAAGTGTAGGAAAGCACACTTCTATAATTTCAATGTTTCCTTTCAGTAAATAACAATGCATTATTGTTTCTTCCCTCAGAATTGAGGGTACTTAAAGATGGTTACCTAGTGTCATGTATACACATAAAAACTTCCGTGCAGTAGCAAATAAGGTGAATTTAAACTTTTAACATGGAATAGGGAAGTTCTCACATTTTTAATTTTTGTTTGTTTTAAATATACTGTTAATCTAGTTCTAAATCTGTGATGATTCTTGTAGTCTGTCTTTTATTGCAGTGAGCCATTTATAGATGTGTTGGTGTTGCAGAAACCTGTGGAAATGATATAACCACTTAAATATAAATCAGTATTTACTGGTGGTAAAATGAGGATATTTTTTTAAAGACAGTGGCCTTTTAAAAGGATCACTTTTCTATGACAATATTGTTAACATCAGAAGTCAAACTAGCTAGTGGTTTGATTTATGTTATTTTACATTTTCTTTAAAAATTTATATGTTTCAGAGCAATTCATGATGTTAAAGCCACAGACATGGGAATGAGCAAAGTGAGATTCAAGGCAGAAGTAGACTTTGATGGACGTGTTGTTACTCGGTCTTACCTGGAAAAACAGGACATTGAACAGCTGCTACAAGTATGTTTAAAAAATGGTTTTGTAACACTTGTATTTGATACTTTCCAATTTGAAGTATGTCTAAACCCAAGATTTGCAAGTAGGTGAGAGATATTTCACTTCTTCATTTTGAAGGGTTGCAGATATTCTTACTTTGTGTTAGTGTTTTAAATGTCTGTACATGAAATTGTATAATGTGCTGCTGAAACAGAGCCACTTTTGGGCTGAGCAAGGCCTGGTTAGGAGGGCAGATTTTTTTAATTTATTTTTTGTTAGAAAATACAGACTTGTAAAAAAAAATTTTTGAGAATATAATTATTCCAATAAATTTTTTATTGAATTACAAGATCTATAGTTAAACTTAGAAGCCTGTCACTTGCAAATAAACACTTTTGTTGGCAGAGCCATTTGCATTGGCTGTTGATGATGCAGTGTTAGGCTTTACAGGTCTGGCCATTCAGACTTGGCTTGAATATGGATTGCTTGCATCACATGACTTAGCATTTTTACAATGTTTAACAATTAAACATCTTTAAGTGTCAGTCTGATTTTACTGTAGTTCAGAGTAGCTTTTCTTATTCCCTGTTTTCTATATAGAAATGCAAAACTGCTCTTAGCTGGATTCTGTATGGCAAGCTGTGAAGTATGAAGCAAATAATAATTTACCTAAATTAAAAGGAGTTTTAAGTGAGAAAAATGTTTTGCTTGCTTACATTTGCTTGTGAACCTACAAGATTTATTTCTTTGCTGCCCTTTCAAAATGAAATGTAGATGTCAGATATCTGCATTGTATGTCTGTCTGTTAAACACAACTTAGAAGTTATTTGAGTTTACCTTTAAATTTTACATTGCAATTTTTAAACCATTAGTCAATATACCAGTTTTTAAAACACGTTAATGTCAAAATAAGAAAGTATGTTTGTATATATAGTGCAATAACTGATCTGTTCATATACTGGATTTCAATTTAATACATTTTTGAGAGGAAGAGCTTTGTACCACCGAGGCACTGCAGGTTTGCTTGCTTGCCAGTTGCTTTGCCGTTGCCATTGTTTAGTAAGCTACTCTTCTTTTCAAAGGCTTTGTTAGCTTTTGTTCTTTACCTGCTATTCCTTTTGGTGATTGCACACAACCTTCATTAGTTCTTCCAATACTTCTAGTTTGTTGCAAAAGATGTTGATTGTTACTAGTTTGGCAACTGTTTCTTACACAGGTCATTGTTATTTCATGTAGTAACCTTGTGTCAGCTATAAAACCATTGTTGAAGGATAGCCACTTTCGGTAGGACTCAGCCATCCAAAGTCAAAGGCAGACATTGTGCTTGCCTTTTGATCTGTACATTTTCAAATAACTAGCTCATTCAACTAGTATTGCTGTCGACATTACTCTTTCTACAGTTGTGAAATATTTGTTGAAATGCTGTCATTCAGATTATCCTGTTTCTTTTTCTTGTTAGACTTGATGTGATCATAGTCATGGGTTGTTGTGGTTGAGATCTTTTAAACTTGCTTAATTACATTATTCCTCTTCGCTTTTAGAGCAGTGGGGAGGGGAAAAAAATTGGTGTTGTAATTGTATACACAAGAAGAATTAACTATTTAGTAGCTACTGTATCTGTTTGCAATAACTGAACATGCTGCAGCTGTATTGCCTGAACTGTGGCTGAGATATTACAGGGTAGATGGCTTCTGGCCAGTTTAGTGTGAGATTTCTAAAGAAAGCTCGTGGTTTTAAATTGAAAGATAATAGATTTAAATTAGATATAAGAAAAAATTTCTTTACTGTGAGGGTGTGAGACAGTGGAACAGCCTGCCCAGAGGAGTTGCGAATGCCTCATCCCTGTAAGTGTTTAAGACCAGATTGAATGGGGCCCTGAGTAACTGGTGTAGTGGAAGGTGTTCCTGCCCATGGCAGCAGGGGTGCAATTGGGTGATCTTTCAGGTCTTTCCAACCCAAACTATTGTATGATTCTAAGGCAATATGTAACACCTGCTTTGATGTTGCTGATGTCTATGGTTTTTTGGAGGGTGGGGTATAACTGTCTTCCTTAACTTCATTCCTTCAGTTGCATATGCTGTGGGTCTCCTATTCTTAGTTCCTGTCAACTATCTTCAAGTTTTTGACACTATGGAGGAGCTGTATTTGCAGCAGCATTTGTAGTAATCCTTTTGGATTTTCAGATGAGTTGATTATGTGATGCCCAGAACAGACAGTGTAATGGAATAGCAAGAATGGGGAAAGAATACACAGGGGTACCCCGCTCTGCCTTGCTGTGAGCAATGAATACCCCAGAAACTTCTAGAAAATGAATTAAATTCTCTAAACTTACTTGGAAAGTTAAGGAGGAAATCAATTTAAGATAGAAGGTTTCATATCAAATGCAGGTGTAACGGTAGAGCCAGCTGTTTCCATTGAATAGATGCTGTGTCTTTGAGACATAAGAACAGATGATGTTTTGGAAGGAAATGGCAAAAGCTGAAGTGTTTTGTTTAGGTGTTTGTTTTTTTTTTAGATCTTGAAATATGTCGAGACCCTCTAGAGTGTTATTCCTTTTTTTTCTTTCCGTCATCTCAGTCTCTTAAATTTAATTTCTTCGTAGGAAATTCAGCAAGTGAAAACCCTTGAAGAATTAGAAGCCTTCATGCTTAAGCATGGTGACAATATCATTGACACACTGGGAGCTGAAGTAGACAGACTTGAAAAGGACCTGAAGGTAAATTTTAACTGGGTAATAGGATGTGCTTATTCTGTGATATATTTTAAACAGTATCACTGCGTCTACTTTTTGAAATTTCATTTGTAAATATAGGAGAGGGAAAGGGTTGGTATTCCTATAGTATTATTAACTGAGTTCTGACCACCAGCAAACCCTTACTTTGCCACTGATCCATTTGTGTATTTTGTTCCATTTTATACCAACATAGAACAATATTTTCATTAAATAGATGTGATTTTGTCTATATTATTGTATTCTCATAAAGTCAGATTATTTATAGGCTGTTGCATTCTGTTTTGGCTGCATAAAAACAAATTTCAATTTTTTTTTAATATGGTGCTTAGCATTGTATCAAATATATCTGTGTGATGGGAATGTTACTCAACATCTTTTGCTTTTGTTGAAGCAGTGCAGTGTTTACCTCTTTTACAAGCCTCTCAAATTCCTTATAATTTATTTTTTTTTCATCCTGTAATTTAAATATCCTTTGGCTGATGCAACAAAGGATTGTTTCCATTTTAATTGTACAGGTATATTGTGGCTGTCAATCTTTCTGGCATGAATTCAGAACTACAAATATACTGACTACCAGACAAATAGTCCTACCATGACTGCCTTTTCTGGCCATGAGACACTACTTGAGAGCATATCTGTCATTGCTTATTACATTTGATAAATATTCTAGTTTTAGTTTCTGTCCCTGCAGTTGTGCAGTTTAAAAATCAAAATATTATTTTTGAATTAAATTGCATCAGCAGAATCAGTTTTTCATGGTGTTTGAGGAGTAGATCATGACTAATTATTTTATAAATGTTAATAATGTTTTTTTGGTATAGGTAGGGATTTCAGTGGTTGTGTTGGTGTTGATTATACTTTACTCAATATGCTAGTTAGGTTCACATACTGAGTGAGTTCTGAAGTCAGTGACTTTCTCATGGATAATACAATCAATGTAATGATAACATATTTCTACAATATCAGAAAATGCATATTTCTTAATAGAAACAGTATTTTGAATGTTTATAAATAGCTTTAGTGGTATAGAACAAATTATCTTAGCAGTCTTACCCATTATTCAGGAAAGTACCTGTTAAGACAGTGAGATGTGTATATATGTATATGTATGTGTATATATATATATATATATATGTTTATTTGGACAGTTTTATATAAAACCTAACTGCCTTTTTAAAATCAAGAGCTGCTTCATACTTTTTAAAGCATAAGAACTTAACCGTGATGTTAAGAAGTATTTGTTAAATAAAAAGATGACTTCAAAAAATGGCTTATAGTATAGGCAATATTTGTTGAAGCTCTTCCTCATTTTAAAATAGTTCCTATGTTACCCAAAAAGGGGATTTGTTGTCCAGTTACCAGCATCATACCAGAAATACATTATTAGTAACTATCTGCAAAAATATGAATATTTTCAATATGTTTTTTTAAAATTTTATTTCAGCAACGAAATCCTGATGTTCGTCATGTGGATTTGGAGATACTATAGAGTCAAACAGAAAAAATCTTCAGGTTGCTACTCCTTTGGAAAGAAGTCATGTAAAGGGCTGAAGAGCTTCTGAAATTGCAGTGACCTCAGCACCATACCTCGCTTACTTATGCTGTAGGCTTCCTGGACTGTAAGCACTGCTTCTGTTTCTGGAAGAGTGCTAGACTTGCAGACAAAAATTTCCATGGCAAAATCAGTTTTCAAAAGCTACTCGAGTTAAATTCCACAGGAGAGTCTATCTGAATATATTTACTGTGATTCAGAACTTAAGACTTGAGATTTAGTTAGGCAAATACAGCTGCCTGAAACTATATAACACACTTAGTTTTCCATTTGTGTCCCTTTGCAGTCAGTTTGCACTTCTTTAGTTTCTTTCAAGATATCATTAAAGGTTCTTGGGAGATATTAAGATTAGCTAGGAGGAGTTTGTTCCAGTGGAACCTGCCAACCTTAAACTATTTCAATTGTGCAATTGTTTCATAGTTTTTCTTTTCTATGAGATAAATTCTTCCAAACGGGCGCTGGCCTTCTCTCAAGTACTGTGACCTGGAAACCTGCTTTTTGCCACCATTACGATTACCAAGATTACCAACTGCACTTCAGAAAAATAAGATTTTTCACCTCAGTGGAGCCAGCTGTATGGGTTTAGCCAGAGTATATTAAGCTACTGTGAAAAATTACTGTGTACGAATTTTGGTGCACTTCCTCTTTTTAGTTTTGTTCTTTTTTCCCCTGCTCTGACACTTGTTTTCTTATTTGTAATTATCTTCAGATGTAATCTGAGGGATATTTATGGTAGTGCTTATTAAAAGTTACCTAGCATTTTTGGCTTTTTATATTTTAATAGGCTCTATTGCCAGATATGGTCTTTTCTAGAAGGTGCGAGAGATGTAGTTGGAATACACAATAGTAAAAAATGAACTATTTATAATTAAACAAATGAATACATTATATTCTTAATTTATTTATCTCTAGATATTATTTGTTATCTGAATTCAAAACCATTTTGTTTTTTAAAAGTTGACCGTACTTGTTTTGGAAAGTAAAGTAATTCTATCAGTGGTCCTCAACAATCCTGAGAGAAGGTCTTAGTTTATAACTTTGAAATATTGATTTTAGCACTGTATATAATTGGCCTCAAGGCTTTCTGCAGTAGGTACCCAAGTTGTATCAGACTCTTTGAGACCCAGTCTTTATTAATAAGGCCATGAGTATTGAGCACAAAGTTGAAATATAAGTGGAATAACTGTATATAAGTAACACTGAGAAAATTTGTTTATGCACTTTAACATAAAATTTGCTCATGGGTGAAAGGTAGTAATAAGACCATCCTAGTAACTCAGTTGCTGAATAATGACTGACTTGCTGAAGGAAGAAATGTTGATATGAAATACAAGTCTTCAAAAATCAATTTAAAATTAAATTGTAAGCATTGCAGCAAATAATTTTGGAGACCAATATGTCCAGATTTGACTAAAAGCTTTTTAGAATTTTTTTTTCATACTAAGTGTCACTTACACAGTGAATTATGAGAATTTAAAATAGCATGCCTTTTTGGCAACTGCAAAGCATTTTGCATGCTGGTCATTTTAAGTAGAAAAACATTCCAGAGTTAAGTTACTCTTCAGTACCTTTGTCCATAATCCCTATTCACTGGTGGCTTCTTTATAGTATAATACCTTACTATGGCTAATTCAAAAAAAAGCTTGCTTTATCTGGTTTTCTCCTTTTGTAGAACTAGTTAGTATATTTAAGCCTGATGATTTGAAATGCAGTTCAAAGGTAATTTGGAAGTCTCCCATATCAAATATTAAGGCATATTTTAGCACCTTATAAATAATTTACCTTCTCACCTGGCCATGTAAAATTCATCTCATCTCAGTATGCACTCTGCTGGTATTAGTCTTATTCATGAAGAGCACTGGAATCTGGTAACGCATACCCTGTTTTCTTTTCCCTAGAATCTTTATATAGATTTTGAATTTGAATAAACATGTTAGTAAGCCAGTCATTCCAGAAATCTTAAAAACCTGAAGAGAAGTAAAACTGGGAAAATATTCTTCCTGTGGAGGTTAGTGAAGACAGCCAGTGTGATCGAAGTGGTTTGTGTGCTGGAGTTACTGATGAATGAGTAGTGCCAGTAAGCACTTTGCAGGGCAGAAGTTTCCCTGCAAGGTTAGTAAATGTTATCTCAATAGCAAAGGGTTCCCATATTGTTTTCAAGAAAAGACATGAGTTTATATTCTTACAGGACATCTGCTCCAAGAGCCTATAAAAATGTTTTTTTTTATTCATCAGAGATGTAATTCATCTGAATTCTGATCCTAATTTCCTTATTTGAATCAGAAGAATACTCATCCACACACCTTTTGTTTGTATTCCAAGATAGAATTAACTTCCTTGTTTCCCAGTTTCATTATTAATTATAGCAACACAGTATGTTAAATTTAAGAAGCCAGAACTTGAATGTTTTTAGGTATATTACAGTCAAGCAGTTTGAGGACCCAGTTCCATTTTTAAAGTGCCCTGGATGGTGACGTAGCACAAAAGGGCATGCAGACTGGTTTCAGCAGTACCCTGTAAGTTTACATGTCATGCAGGATGGAAAATACTGATTCATGTAGCCTGTCAGGTTGGAAAGGAAAAGTAATTCCAAGCTGTTACATTTTAATTTTTATGTTAGAATTTGCAGATTGCTTTTAACACTTTTGTTATTTTTACTGCTTTTTTCATTAACTGTGTTTATAGTAAAAAACTTGAGGTGATGTGGGTCCAGGACTTAGTTTACTTTTGTTTTAATGTTTTTTGGGGAAAATTATTAGCAAATACATTTACATTATAGAATCCTCAGAATTAAAGAAAACTTAAAAAGTGTGGAGGAGTGAATTTTTTCTTTATCACAAATGCAATTGCATGATGATTCTTTTTGGTTGATTTTAAAGAAAAGGAGTAGGGATTTACCTACCAATGAAGTTATATTCTAGGATTTTTTCAATTAAAGTGTGGTGTTTTAAAATAATTTATTTTTGTAGACTGACCTTGCAGGTTCTGGTTTTTCAAATTGTGTTCAAAATAATACTTCCCTCTCTGCTTTGTGGAAGGTTGCTTACATGCTGTGCAGTGTCTCATAATTCTCTAAAACTTGCAATGTGTGAAAAAAATTGTCTTTGTGTTCCAATATACTGAATGATCTTATGTATTTTAAGTCCAGGTTGGCTGGATGCTAATAATGTGTTTTTCTGTAGAATTTTTTTTCTGTAAGAGATAAAATTTTGAAGTGATTATCTTTCTCCCAAGAATGAATTTCAAGTCTAAATTTCTCCTTTATACACTGGAATTCAGTATTTGATGTGGTCTCCCTCTCCCCCTCCACTTTCTAAAGCATTTATTAAGGGTTTGGTAGCAGTAAATATTCCAGTGGAGTACTGTATTTCAGGGTCTGTTTGCTGGTCTAGAAGTAGTGGGGATTTAGGGAACAGGAGAACATATAAGGACAAATTTGCATCCTTCACCTTCTGTGACTCAGTTTTGGACTGAAGGTTTTTAGGCTCTGTTTTTTTACTTCCCTGAATTCCCACACAGCTTTTATTGCTTTTTTTAAACGACTCTTACTTTTAGAGGAGCAAGCCATTATGAACATCTTATGTTTTTAACAGCAGGGCTAAATTCTACTCTTAGTGTCTGGATTTTGTACTGTACTTCTTGTTCATTCATAGTTGGCAATAATGATTGCTGTTTTAAAAGCTACAAACCATGTTAGCCGAAACTGAGTTTTCTGACTCATGGTAGGTGCAGGTTTTTTAGTTATGTCTGCAGACTCAGTTTTTATTGAGAGATTTTTACTGCCCCCTCTTTGATAAGGGAGAACACAGGGTAGGTTTTTAGGCATGTTTTGTCTAGATTGTACACTAATTGCAGTTCTATGTTCTCTCTTTTATCATTTCTGCTGATTTTTCTGTAACAAAGAAAAAAATATACATTATAGAAGTACCTCTAATAATGATGAGTGCATCAAATACAGGCATCATGCAAGAGTTTTTAGGCCTTTATTGAAAATGTGGTAATTTTTGAAAAATCTCAATGAAGTAATCCTTTTTCTAAGGTTGATTTAGATATTCTCCTTGTAGAAGAAACCACAGAAGCATATTGTTTAAGATTTGAAAGCAAAGTGTTTCCTCTTACAGTCATATGTTCTTAAGGCATTTTTGTCTTGGTAGAACAATTGATAAGTATTGACTCTTGTACAAAACCTTTGCTTCTGCACATTCCTTAAGGCTTACAGAAGTGAATATAAAATGACAGTGTTAATTTTTCTTCTAGCTTAAGTATTGTGCTGCCTCTGTTCTTATTGCTAGTGAAATAGAGGGTACCACTAACATCTTCCTTGCAGTTTACCTGTGTAATGTAAATGAGAAGTTGAGATGTACCAAAAAGATTTTTTTTTTAGAGGGATTGTGCAGCTTAAGTAATTTTTCCTTTCTTGTTAGTGACATACAAATAAGTAAGATCAAAAGTAGGCTAATCTTTATTACATTAAAAAAAAAAAGAATCCAAGCTTTAAAGCACAATAGTCAGATTTTTGAAATGCATGTCCTTTGAGGAAAATAAAATGTGCCAGGAGCTCTAAGTGATTGTATGGACTATAGAAACTGCAGTCAGTCAGACTTTGCTGAAGCAAAACAAACTAAAAGTGTGTGGTAAAAAGAAAAGAATATAAGGAAGGAAAAAGACCTAAGATGTTGAGCACTTGGGAGAAGGAAAGGATGAACACAATCTAAAAAACTTGTCCAGAAATGAGAAATTATGATTGGAGAAGAAAGGAACAGTAAGAAATTAATATTTTATTAGAATGCATAAAACTAGGTAGTGTGACATTCTCTTTCTTTTAGCAATATTCCAGTGGTTGGATAATTGCTTCTTCTCACCCCCAGCAAAAACTCATCTTTTTTTTTCCTGTACTGAAAATCAGTGCCTCTGTTTAACTGTGTCCTAATATGGTGTTCAGCCTTGCAGGTACAAATCTATTTGTCCTCTGAAAACTTAGTTTTACTGCTAAGGGTGATGGTGTAATCTCAGTCTGGAGCTTTGTTGGTGAGGTATGTGTTTGGTGAGTGGAGGGTTAGTAATGTTAATTGTGGAAATGGGAGCTGGAGTGAATTAAAGAGAAAATTAATCAATTCTTTTAGACAGAAAATGATTGAACCATCCTGAACATGTTATGGAAAAAAAGGTGCTCTGTTCTAATGACTGCATAATTCTTGTAGTGGACTGTAATCATTGGTGAATACATTAGTCCGTATTTTTCAAGTTGCTTAAATATCTGTGGATAAGCAAGATTTCTAATTAAATAACATTATGAAAAGATACTAAAACATTTAAAATATAATGTGAAAATTATGTATGTTTTTTAAATACCACAGACAAATACTATAGCAGATTATTATAGATAGGTGGAAAATATTCTATATTACATGAAGTACTTGTGGACATTTTTTTTTCTCTGTGTAAGTTAAAGCCACCAATTAAAATAAAGAGTCTTAGTTACTTTTTAAAAGAGTTATACTGACAGTAAGCCCAGTCAAATTTGTGTATAGCCAAGATTCAAAGTGCTGTTACGGGAAGAAAATGTCTGTTAAAATAGTGGAATACAGGTGCACACTCTAGCATAAGTTTGATTTTTGTAATCTAAATTTAGACTAAATTTAAAACTTTTGAGGTTGTGATCAGCTGCTTCAAATCTGAAGTCAGAAGAAAAGCACTGCAATGATGTATATATGATGTAATATAAAGGGGATTTTGTAAGTTTCTCTTCAAATTAAATATGCTGAAGGACTAAGTGAGAAGAATTTGAAAAATGCCTAAAGCATTTGGAAAGCATTTTGGCTATTGCCAAAATTATATTAAATTTGAAACTGAACAGTGAGGATTGTCACTGGTGGTAGAACTTTCAAAAGGCAATGTCAAAGTTGAAATCTATTTTTCCATGCAGCCTCTTAATCAAATTCATCACTCTCCCTCATGTCCCACCCGCTACCCCCCAGTCACCCTTCTTGCTTTTTGGTGTATTGGCTTTTTCATTTTGTGTCTTGGTTACTCCATATTAGTATGGGGAAGTCATTTTGATTTGTGAGGTGTAGACATTTAAATACTTATCTGCATATGTTCTTTGTTTTGTAATTACACTTGAATTCAGTACATTCTGTATCATGTCTGGAACTTGTAATTACTCAGTAAAATGTTACATAGCCAGTAAAGGTTGCATTCTGTTAATTTAAGCAATTTGATATATATTATAAAGGTAAGCACTAACAGTGGCTTTAGGCAGCTGATGATTTGTTAAATTTCTGAATTCAAAATGCATACAACTTTTATAGATGCAAAACAAAGGTTATTCAGTCTGCCTTTGTGATGCTGACAGTGCACACACTGTTAAATAGCATGCAGTTGGTGAGGGAGCAATATGCCCAGTTAGCCAAGCTCTGTTTATTAATACTCTGTACTTTATTGCAACTCTGCCTTTTATCCTGTTCACTCCCATCTTCAAAAGAGTGCAGTTTCTTCCCCATTACAGAGAAAGCTCTTTCTGCCTGGCTCAGAGGCCCCACTGGCACCGTGTCCTGTTTGGACTACCTGTCCTGATCCAGACATAAGGACAAAATGAAGAAAGTTAGTAATACAGATGGGTTGCATGTCTCTGTATAGTCAAGGGCATGGGGAAAATTCCTTGAAGAGGTTGGTTTTATGTATTAGATTCATATAGTAACTGTAGTTTCACAATCCCAGCAAAGCTGTCCAAGCCTCTTAAGAAAAAGCTTGAAATCAGTCAGCTTAGAAGGGATTTAACATATTCTCTGATTCATTAAAGTACTGCTTTTTATCACTAATACTGATAAAACCAGTGATTTATCCAGTTATGGAAAGAACTACTTGTAATTGGGCTAAAAAATCTGTATGTGGTTGGAAAGAAGAGTCAAAAATGCCAGAAGCCTGGGTGATGAAGTAGAGAAGCTTGAAAAATTTGGGAGTTTTTGTCTGTATGGTATCAGATACCAGAAGTAAGGTGGTCAAGCAACATATTGCAGGAAAGATTTTGGCTGTGCAGCATAATGTCCTGATTGCTAAAGATGCCTCATTTCATAGTTAAGAGACTCCCTTTTTCAAGGAATGTTTGTCGTCTTGTTTTGTTTGTTTGTTTTCCTAATGAACCAAGATTTGCCTGAGCAGAGACAGGAGAGACTTCAGGGCCTTGTCTCCTGTCTATTTGACGTCAAGTCCAAATATTGGACTGTCTTTTGGGCTGTCTGAATAACCAGGCAAGTGGTATCAACCACTTTGAAAGAGGGAGAGAGCTCTGTGTTTTCACATGATGTAACTTGGAATCCTCAAAATGCTTTATTTACCATTTGTGGTATTTGTTGAAAGGCCATTCTTAAATAATCATGTTAAGTTGTGAGTAATGGGTTGAAATGGGACCTTGCAGTTGGCTGGTTGGAGGTGATCTTAACAGTGCTGTTTGAGAATGAATTTTGTCTATCTTTCCTAGTATTTTATGAGGGACTTTATTAAAATATCATGAAAAGTAAACCTTCCTTTACTGTTTCAGTTAAACATTTTTTGAAAACCTTAGGAAAAGGGACATAATTTCTGCCTTCACAGAAGTCGTGACAGCTTGGCTTCTAGTAAATAACCTATATTGATTTACCTGAGCTCTGTTGTGAATTTTTTTTTTTTTTAATTTAGACTCCTTCAGTTCTGTTACTGAATTGAGACGTAATAGGATCTTTTCTAGGTTCTCCTTCCTTCAAACGAGGTGGCTTAAATGTTATTCAGTGTCTAGTTTAAACAGATACTCCATGTTTTAGAGAACTATTATTTTTTTCACCCAAAATACTGATTGAACAGCAGTTTACTGCTGAAATAAATTAGGCCACTCTGGATAACACAAACCATTAAGTTTAGGGTCAAAATGTTGGTTGTTTTTTTTTTCCAAGGCAGTCATAAAGAAAACCCGTCTTGCATTTGATGCACATACCAGTACATTCATATACGAACCTGTGTCTTTGCATGTTATAATTGTACGTAGGTATCTTTGGCTGTAGATTTGTACCTCACTGATCATACTTCTCATGAAAGAGAACCGAGATCTCAGCAAAAATGAAAATTAAATACTGTGGAAGAAGATCCTAATGAATTTGGACAATTTGGAAACTTTGATGAAAGACATTTCAGTAAGGCTGTGGCTTTAACCCATTCTGCTCCTTCCCCTTTATGCCTTGCAATGA